CCCAACCCCAACCCCAAACCCAACCCCAACCCTCTTTAGTAATAATAAACTGAATACCATTTTCAATCTCTATGGGGAAATATTTTTCTCATGTAATTCTGCAAATCCTGAAAGAATCATATATAGTCCATTAAAGTTCATCTTTGTAAAAATGTTTATCCTTTGATTGAGCAACTTGAAATTTATTTTCATTATCAATAGCTTCATATACCATTCCAAATGATGCTACATCAATAATTAATTTAATATGATTCCATTTGTTTCTATTATTTTTATTCTATTATCTTAGATTATACCAAAAAATATCTTTCTTAATATTTTAATATGAAATATATAAATAACTTTTGGCTTTTTATTTTTTCAGTCTATATTTATCATTTTATTCCATTTCAAATTTTACAATAATTTTTGACATACATTACATAAAATATATTTATGAAATTTTATTATTTGAATACTTATATAGGTTTCAAACTACATATTATTATCAATCGCTGATGGATTAACTTTATTGGGTCCAATATTTCTTATAATAGTGAAGTTTGGATTATTTTAATATCCAACTCTTTTTGGAAAAATCTTTACACTTATTACAGTGATTCTAATAAAAGCAGTCCTATATTGTTTTATACTAAGGATAGTTTGTAAATTGGTTAGATTCTAATTTTAAAATACATGAGATGTTTAATAAAGAAAGGATTATCCTTGAGACAAGATATCTGCTAATTATTATCCTACAGGAAATTGCAGAAAAATAACAACCAAGTAAACATAAAATTTTAATTAAAAATTAGAAACTAATTATCTTCTATTTCTTTAAATGTAGATGAAATTATGGAAAAAACTTCATTATAGCAAATTTTATTTTTTTATTAAACTAAAAACTGGTAACGATTAAAATAAGGATTAATTCTATCAAGTTTTCAACTTTTAATTTCACAAATAAGAGGGAAATATTTATCAAAGGCATAAAAAATGGAGCTTAAAACTGCTTATAGGAACTACACGACTACGATTGTTATGATAAACCTAAATTTTCAACCCTGAAAATGCAATTAAATCCTTTAAGACACCTAAATATGAAAAAGAATGGAATGATTATTTTAAGTAAAGGTTTTATAATTAAATAGACCCTCAAAGAAACTCTATCCATAAAATTCCTCCTAAATACATAAATATGTTAATGATTTGAGACTATTATATTGTTAACTATAACTATAACTAAACTTTACATGAATTAATACAAAAATAAAAGAGATCCAATAAAAAAAAGAATTATCTATAAGGATGGTTTTATTGATTGAGAAAATATTATATTGGTATTTTACTTTGCTAAGTCCATTTAGATAAATCGATGATTATGCAATAAATAATAACTATGCAAGATGAAAGTGCACAAGCTCGTTACCAATTATTTCATAATAAATTTTAGGATATACAACCAGACCCCACCTATTCCGAATATAGTAAGAAACTGTCCTTCAGCCTTCCTTTTATTTAAGACTGGAGATAATCACTTAAATCAAGCGTAATCTACTTTTAGGCTTCTAATTTAAATTCTATATCTAATATCTTAGATTCATGTTTATAATCTAAAATTATTATTAATTTTTTAGTTTCTGAGGATCTAAATAATCTGATCCATCATATAGTCAGATTATTTTCTTGAGACAGATTTACCTTACCTAATTAATAATTACAGCTAAGTTTCCAATTTCTATACTATTAGTTCTAATTTCGTTTTTGTTGTGTAGGTAAGATAAATATTAACTAAAATAATGATTAATTTTAGGTCTCTAGATCCTATCTTCTTTCCCAAATTAGTTCGTTGACCACTAGAGTCGTTAAAGAGGTTTAACTCTCTGCTTTGTGAAGCTCTAGAACCTATTTTGGAAGACCCATAATTTATTATCAAGATGATATCAGGCTTCTTGGAGGAGAGTTCATGTTATATTATCTAATAATTTATAATTTTTTCCATTACATAGACCTAGTGTTTCAGCTTATTAATTTAAGGTCCGAAGAATGAGTACTTTCAATTACGACTCTCTGATTTCATGCGACTACGTTCTGGATAATAAGATTATCTTATCATTTCAAAGTGTGAAGGTCACCTTCTTAGAGACTTCCTTGATTGGCTTTCAGATTAGAATTTTCCCATGGTTTGACCATAATTTAATTTTTAACTTTTATTTGATACGGGTTGATATCCCTATTTTTTGTTTATTAAAATAGTGGAAGATTTTGATCAATTAAGTTAATCTTTGAGGATGAAATGGATGAAAAAAACATTTGATTACTATGAAAGTATTATTATTCAAAAAAATTTTGGATTGTATTTCTTATGGATTAGACCAACAATATAATGTATACTTATGTTTTCGGATTTCTAGTTTCTTCTTTTTAATATTACTAATTCACAATATCAGTATGTATTTTCTTCTCTAAGCTTAAGTTAGTATCAACCATGATGTAATTTTTAAATAAGATTCTAATCTGAAATATTATGAGAGTAATAAAATTATATTTCTAAATTTGCCATTTTATTTCGCTAAGTTCATTTATTTCTTTAAACTTGAAATATTACTTATAGTTGTCTAACTCTAAACATAGATTAGAATAATTAAATCTTTGGATGAGAGAGGACTATGGTTAAAACAAAATTTCCCTTTGATTCTTATTAAATTTGTAAAAATCAGATAACAATGTAATTTTCTCTAACATATTTTAAATTCCTTAAATAACTTTTAAGTATGTTACTTAGCCTCAATTTATATAACAGCTTTTAACCTAGTATCTTAACAATTAAAAAAAAAATAATATTCAGAATTTTTAGATTCAGCATTACCATAAAGTATCCTTAACTTAGGGTTTATTAGTTTGAGATTTGTTGATTTGCATTAAATCATTAACACATTTTAATGATGAGCCAATTTAATAAAAATAATTTCAAACCTAAAATGGCATTTGAACGATAAAGATAATAACTTCAATAATCTCAACATNTAATAATTACAGCTAAGTTTCCAATTTCTATACTATTAGTTCTAATTTCGTTTTTGTTGTGTAGGTAAGATAAATATTAACTAAAATAATGATTAATTTTAGGTCTCTAGATCCTATCTTCTTTCCCAAATTAGTTCGTTGACCACTAGAGTCGTTAAAGAGGTTTAACTCTCTGCTTTGTGAAGCTCTAGAACCTATTTTGGAAGACCCATAATTTATTATCAAGATGATATCAGGCTTCTTGGAGGAGAGTTCATGTTATATTATCTAATAATTTATAATTTTTTCCATTACATAGACCTAGTGTTTCAGCTTATTAATTTAAGGTCCGAAGAATGAGTACTTTCAATTACGACTCTCTGATTTCATGCGACTACGTTCTGGATAATAAGATTATCTTATCATTTCAAAGTGTGAAGGTCACCTTCTTAGAGACTTCCTTGATTGGCTTTCAGATTAGAATTTTCCCATGGTTTGACCATAATTTAATTTTTAACTTTTATTTGATACGGGTTGATATCCCTATTTTTTGTTTATTAAAATAGTGGAAGATTTTGATCAATTAAGTTAATCTTTGAGGATGAAATGGATGAAAAAAACATTTGATTACTATGAAAGTATTATTATTCAAAAAAATTTTGGATTGTATTTCTTATGGATTAGACCAACAATATAATGTATACTTATGTTTTCGGATTTCTAGTTTCTTCTTTTTAATATTACTAATTCACAATATCAGTATGTATTTTCTTCTCTAAGCTTAAGTTAGTATCAACCATGATGTAATTTTTAAATAAGATTCTAATCTGAAATATTATGAGAGTAATAAAATTATATTTCTAAATTTGCCATTTTATTTCGCTAAGTTCATTTATTTCTTTAAACTTGAAATATTACTTATAGTTGTCTAACTCTAAACATAGATTAGAATAATTAAATCTTTGGATGAGAGAGGACTATGGTTAAAACAAAATTTCCCTTTGATTCTTATTAAATTTGTAAAAATCAGATAACAATGTAATTTTCTCTAACATATTTTAAATTCCTTAAATAACTTTTAAGTATGTTACTTAGCCTCAATTTATATAACAGCTTTTAACCTAGTATCTTAACAATTAAAAAAAAAATAATATTCAGAATTTTTAGATTCAGCATTACCATAAAGTATCCTTAACTTAGGGTTTATTAGTTTGAGATTTGTTGATTTGCATTAAATCATTAACACATTTTAATGATGAGCCAATTTAATAAAAATAATTTCAAACCTAAAATGGCATTTGAACGATAAAGATAATAACTTCAATAATCTCAACATAGAAATAATAAGTATATTAGAAAATTATGGGTAATAAAAATTAATAATATAATAAGAGATTTTTGTACTAAAGAAACTTTCAGGTCAATTATGTCAATTAATCAAAAAAGAACCCTTTTTTCTCTTTATTAAAATGATTTGATTGAAAATAAACTTAATTAGTTCTTTCTCATTATCCAATAATTAATATATTTTTAATCAAGTTATTTAAAATGAAAAAGAATAAATTTTATTTCTGAATTCTAAAAATAAAAGCTTATTGGATAAATTAAAAATTAACAAAGTATTATATAAGTTAGAAGTTAAATTAATAGAAATCTTTTCAAATAAACTTTCAACTTATTAATTATACTGTCGCATTAAGTCGAAATTATACTTCATTGGACAAAAATAAATATTTTATTCAACTGATATTTAATTCTTGTTATTTGAAAAATTTAATCTCTTAGTTACACTTAAAGAATCTTATGTCTGTTATTTGATTAAATAATAGAAATTAATTTTCTAATTGAAATGGAGTTGTTAATAATTCATATTCAAGTAAAACAAATTGTAAAATTTACAGTAATTAAACTATCTATACAAATTATTTCAAGGTGTAATATAATTTTCATCAACAGTTAATCTTATATTACTAAAAAAAAATTTCTAGTTGAAATAATACAGTTAAAAAGACTAATGACTAAATTAAATTTTAATATAATTAAATTATCTTGCTAAAATAAAGTAAAAAATAAAAATACACATACGCTCAAGGTAATAATGTATTTTTAATAGTGTAATTAAGAACTTAACTTGAAAAAAATTATATCAATAAATACATCATTATTGCCATTTTTTTCTCCAAAAAGTAATCTTCTGACTTCTCATAATATTTTTAAAAATTTGAATTTTTATCTTAGGTCATACTAAGCATAGTGATATATTTAATTTATTGAAATTAAGACTTTTGGATTAGGCATAATGAATGGTAACTCTAAAACAAAAAATTTAATTACTTTATAGTTAATAGGTTATGGAAATTATTAATTATAAATAATTATATATAATTAATAATTTATGAGAACTTTGGATTGGTTGCAGAACCTAAACAGGTTAAACAGAAATTTCATAAACAAAAATATGAGATACAAATTGTTTTCAACTTTAACCAAAAATCTTAATTTTTCATATTTAAACAAATTGAAAATTCTGGGATATTCATCTGAATTTTTGTATTTCTAAAGTGATCTATAAGTATATATAGATCAAAATTATGTACTTTTAAAAAACGGTAGTGGGTATCTTTTTCTATTTAAATTCTATATTACTATAGGCCTTCTGAAATCTATCCAGTTTATTTATTTAATTATTATTTAAATTAAAAAGGGTTGGGGTTTCCTTTATAAAAATTTTATTTATGCACCCTTTTTTGCTATATGAAGGTTGTAAACAAATCCCTGGAGCTGATTGTAGTAACAATGGATGGACTAATGCAAATAAAGTAATTGAATGCCAAGGAAAATTTTATATTGGAGATTTCACAGGAGGTTATTAGATCTGGAAAATATTTCCATGTCCACCAGAAAGGAAATTAATATTCTCGTTTACTATAGCTAAATTTGATTCTTGGGATTTGGAAGGTGTATCTGTTTATCGAGATGATTTACTTGTTGGCTCAATTGCTTATACTGCTTATCAAGGAGAATATGTTTGCGCATTATCTTTTTTTCCTGATTTAACTGAAAAGAAAACTTTTTCATTTTAATCGCCAGTTGGAAAGAATAGTTTTAAGTTGCTATTAGAGGATAACTTGTAATCATATGATGATGGTAATGAATAGTTTTATTTTAGAATCTTGGGGATTTAGAGATATAAAATTATAAATTTTGAATCCTTGTGTTGATTTCTATAGCGAATGTAACTTTTTAGGGGATATGTGGCGAATATGTGCTGGAAATTAGACTCTTTTTGCTAAATTTGTTCCTTTTAAAATAAAATCCATAAATATTTTGAAAGGGATAAGAGTTTAAATGAAAGACAAAAGATTTAAAGGAGGAATTCTATAGACGTATACTTAAAATCAGACATGTTTGGACGATTTTAATGTATTTTATTATCATAAACCATTTTTTAGTTTCCAAAATATGAAAAATACTCATGAATATCTTATGCCTATACTGATTATGATTAAAACAATATTATCATCTTTAATAATATTCATTTATTTTATTAATCTTAAAGAGAGTATATTCCAAAGTTGAAATCATAATTATAGTTATTATAAAACGTTTCGCAAAAATAAATGCTATATAAATATTATCAGTATAAATAAAATTGAGATTAAAAAGTATATAATTCAATTAAGAATAAAATAAAATTTAAAATAATAAAAAATTAAACTAAAAAAAATTTTTCCATTCTACTCTCTCCATAAAGCAAACACCCTTCATTATCAGCACTTTCCCCTCTTCCCAAAAATATACTGATCGGAATAATCCATTATTTTTATTGCAAATTGCAATCTCATTTAAACACCTTATTAAAATTATCAGAACATTAATTTCAGGATGGAATCTATAATTCAATTTAGTCAGAGTAATTTCGTAAATTCATAGAGATTAATTTCTTCTCTTTTAGCTTAGTTTTTTCTTTTCTGAATAGACAAGCTAAAACTATAGATTAACTAATACTACAGGTCTCATATACTTCAAAATTGAAAAGATTTCGTCTTTAAATTAGAAGTATACATAGTTTTGCAAAAATTACAATTAGAACATTTAAGAACCAGAAAAAAATATAAATTTCTAATTCATTAATTAAATAAGGAGTCAGAATGCAATTTTAAGTGCTAAAAGTCCATTATAACTCACATTCATATTTTCCCAACAAAACAAAACTTCATCTAATTATTGTTTGTTTTTATGCAGGTGGTTTACCTATACAATTGATATCATACTTCTCTTCTACCCTTTTATAATTAGAAACAGAATTAGATTATAAGCCAACTCAAATGAATTCTTGAATTTGCCAGTAAAGAAAGTGGAGATGGCCATATCATTAGCTTAAGCAAAATCCAATTACCTTTTTTAAAACAATAAATAAATTTAATCATAAAAATAACAATCACAGTGTAACAATACTTTAAAATAACATAGAATAAGTTTAAATGAAAGAATTCTGATATAATATCATGTTTGAGTATTTAAATTTTAATTTATTAACATATAAAATTAAGAAATTGAGATAAATTTTAAATACATTATTATGGAAATTCAATATTTATTAGCTTCAATATTTTTAGTTGTGGGTATCCTAATATACTCATTGAAGTCAAAATTTGAAAAGTCAAGATAAAACTAAAAACCTTAAGAAGTTAAAACAGACTCAGGAAAGAAGATAAATTGTTAAGAACAATTAATTCCAATCTCTATATATTTTGGAACACAATAAGGCACTGCAGCTCGATTTGCCAAATAATTATCTGAAGAAGGAAAAGAACATGGATTTTTGACAACAGAAGTAGATCTTAATGAAGTTGAATTTGATAAAGAGATGACAAAGGGAAAATTTGGAATTTTTTGCATGGCTACTCATGGGGAGGGTGACCCTACAGATAATGCAAAAAAATTTATAAGTTGGTTATAAGAGCCTTAACTATCTTTAAAAGATTTTAATTTTACTGTTTTTGGACTTGGTAATAGGCAATATGAACATTATAATAAAATTGGAAAACTTACAAACAATCTTCTTGAAAAGTAAAATGCTATTCGATGTTACAAGTATGGGGAAGGAGATGCCAATAGTACATTAGAAGATGACTTCATAGATTGGAAAAAAGACTTATGGAATGTTTTAAAGGAGCTGATTCATCCAACACCCTAAGGTAAAAAAAAATAATTCAAATATAGGTTCAACATTTAAACTTGTAAAAAGTAATAAAGAAGAAATCAATTTTGATTAAACTCTTTAAGGATAATTTGATTTTTAAACTAAATAGTTTTTAAAAGCAAAATGTAAATTATTTTATTAATTTAAGATTGTCAAGTTGTATCAATAACTTAATTAAGATAAAATCAATAAGATGGTTCAACACTACAAATAATTTTTGATACAGGTAGAGAAGGAATAGAATATAAAACAGCTATGAATTTAGGAGTTTATCCTGAAAATAATGATGAATAAATTCTGGAAATTGCTAATTATTTAGGTGAAAATCTGAACACAATCTATACTTTGGAATAATTAGAGGAGACTAATAAAGCAAAAATGCCATTTCCTTCTCCTTTAAGTGTTAAAAAGATTTTGAAGCACTTTTTAGATTTTAATGGATAATTAATGAAAAATACATTAACAAAGTTGGCTAAGATTTCAAGTGAAGATGAAAAAGTAAGGAACTATTTACTTCATTTAACAACAGAAGAGGGAAAAAAAGAATTTTAGTAAATGGTTGATGAGTAAAAAACAACAATTTTTCAATTAATTTAAAGAAACAATATCAAATTAAATTTAGCATAATTTATTGAATTATGTCCAAGAATTAGCCCCAGATTATTTACTATTGCATCATCAAATATAAAAAGCCCTCAACAAGTAGAAATTGCTGATAGTTTATTAATTGATGATCTATCAGATGGTACTTAAAAAATAGGTTTATGTTCTTAATATTTCTTAAACATACAATAAAGACTCTTGCAAGGGGTAATATTTATAGCTATGTGTTATGTTAGGAAAGTGTGAAAGTTAGAGTTGATTTTAGAGAATCAAGCTTTAAATTACCAGATGATCCAAATAAATCCATAATTATGATTGGACCAGGGACTGGAATAGCTCCTTTTATTGGATTTTTATAAGAGAGAGAAATCTTTTTATAAAACCAAGCTCAAAAATAAAATGAATACATTCTGTATTTTGGATGTAAACATGAAAACGGAGATTTCATTTATAAAGATTAACTTAGAGAATTTTAAAGAAGAAAAATTATTGATAAATTTTATACAGCATTCTCAAGAGATTAAGAAAAGAAGATTTATGTATAAGATTTGCTTAAGCATAATTCTGAAGAACTATTTAATCAAATAATAAATGATAAGGTAGTCATTTATATATGTGGGTAAGTTTTATAATTATTTTAGATCAACAAACATGGGAAATTCAGTTTAACACCTGATTAAAGAGATATTAATAAAATATAGCAATTGGTCAGAGCATGAAGCTGAAGAAAGAATATAAAATATGTAGAAATAAAAATTTTTAATCAAAGAATTATGGTGATTTACATGAGTTATAAATAAACAAGTTATTATTATTTTTTAAATCTAAATGAAAAAAAAGTAACTTGAAAGAGATGAACAGGGCAATTTAATTATGAATGAGTAAAATATTATAGAGATTTGCGAAAAAGAAGGATTATATGAGTATCCAGAACTGAATTCAAAATTATATTTACATTTTAAGGGTAATTAAGAGTAATTAATTTTAAGCATTCAGAAAAATTGGAGGTTTGGACAACTTCATAAATGTTAAGACTTTGTGGTTAGAAAATAACTTTATTACAAGAATAGAGGGATTAGAAAATCTTTAATAACTAACACATTTATTTTTACAAAATAATCTAATTTAAAAAATTGAAGGATTACGAGAAAATTTAGAATTGATTACATTGAATCTATCTAATAATTGTATTAAAGTGGTTGAAAATTTGTAGAGGCTCTAAAAGCTTTCTAGTTTGGATTTATCAACAAACAAATTGAAATCAGTTTCTGATATATGGGAATTAGAANGAAGAGGGAAAAAAAGAATTTTAGTAAATGGTTGATGAGTAAAAAACAACAATTTTTCAATTAATTTAAAGAAACAATATCAAATTAAATTTAGCATAATTTATTGAATTATGTCCAAGAATTAGCCCCAGATTATTTACTATTGCATCATCAAATATAAAAAGCCCTCAACAAGTAGAAATTGCTGATAGTTTATTAATTGATGATCTATCAGATGGTACTTAAAAAATAGGTTTATGTTCTTAATATTTCTTAAACATACAATAAAGACTCTTGCAAGGGGTAATATTTATAGCTATGTGTTATGTTAGGAAAGTGTGAAAGTTAGAGTTGATTTTAGAGAATCAAGCTTTAAATTACCAGATGATCCAAATAAATCCATAATTATGATTGGACCAGGGACTGGAATAGCTCCTTTTATTGGATTTTTATAAGAGAGAGAAATCTTTTTATAAAACCAAGCTCAAAAATAAAATGAATACATTCTGTATTTTGGATGTAAACATGAAAACGGAGATTTCATTTATAAAGATTAACTTAGAGAATTTTAAAGAAGAAAAATTATTGATAAATTTTATACAGCATTCTCAAGAGATTAAGAAAAGAAGATTTATGTATAAGATTTGCTTAAGCATAATTCTGAAGAACTATTTAATCAAATAATAAATGATAAGGTAGTCATTTATATATGTGGGTAAGTTTTATAATTATTTTAGATCAACAAACATGGGAAATTCAGTTTAACACCTGATTAAAGAGATATTAATAAAATATAGCAATTGGTCAGAGCATGAAGCTGAAGAAAGAATATAAAATATGTAGAAATAAAAATTTTTAATCAAAGAATTATGGTGATTTACATGAGTTATAAATAAACAAGTTATTATTATTTTTTAAATCTAAATGAAAAAAAAGTAACTTGAAAGAGATGAACAGGGCAATTTAATTATGAATGAGTAAAATATTATAGAGATTTGCGAAAAAGAAGGATTATATGAGTATCCAGAACTGAATTCAAAATTATATTTACATTTTAAGGGTAATTAAGAGTAATTAATTTTAAGCATTCAGAAAAATTGGAGGTTTGGACAACTTCATAAATGTTAAGACTTTGTGGTTAGAAAATAACTTTATTACAAGAATAGAGGGATTAGAAAATCTTTAATAACTAACACATTTATTTTTACAAAATAATCTAATTTAAAAAATTGAAGGATTACGAGAAAATTTAGAATTGATTACATTGAATCTATCTAATAATTGTATTAAAGTGGTTGAAAATTTGTAGAGGCTCTAAAAGCTTTCTAGTTTGGATTTATCAACAAACAAATTGAAATCAGTTTCTGATATATGGGAATTAGAATTAAATTAATCAGTATCTAATTTAGATTTATCCAATAATATGCTTGAATTTGAAGGAGAACACGAAGATGATCCATTATTGTTAATATTTAAAAAAATGCCAAAATTAAAATGTCTTTATTTATAGAGAAATAATTACATACGATCAATTCAAAATTATAGAAAAGTATTTAGAGCTATCTAATTTAGTATTATCTTGCCAATTTACCAGAATTAACATATTTAGATACATAACCTGTATTTCCTAATGAACGTAGAATAGTGGATGCATGGGGAAAATTGGGTAAAGAAGGAGAATAAATAGAAAGATAAAGTATATAATAATATTAATTATATAGAAATTAAAGATGAAGAAGATACTAAGAAGTAAGAATATCGCGAAGAGATAAAAAAATAATTACCTATTTATTTATAAAGCAAAATTAACTTTTTCCAAAAAAATATCAACGCTATAGAAACTGAAATATAAGAGATGTAAGCTAGAAAATAAAATCATATTGAACAAAATAGTCAAGAAATTGAAATTACTTTTTTAGATGCTTCTATTAATTAGAAATAATCTCAACTTAATGAAATGAATGAATTACTTGATAATATGAAAGTAAGATAAATACGATAAAATTCTATGACAGAATCACAATTAATTGAATAAAGAGGAGATTAATAGGAAAAAATTCAAATTTAACTAGATGAAATAGATTGAAATGTCTTTTTATAAGAAAGATTTAATTATTCATTCATATATTTTTTAATATTTTTTTGCAAAATCTTTCATTTTTGAATCCTATTTACGTAACAATATTAATCTATAAAGAGCAGAACAAATTTTTTTATTATCTTATCGCAAATGATATTATTCAAATGTTGCAATTAAATCCTTATTTTACATACTAAACCATATAGATATATCTTTTATTTCAGCTAATTATTGTTTAATCCTCATTTGTAAGACATTACTAGATATTTATTTTTCTAAAAAACTTTATAATGTCTGAAATTCTAAAGTAAGTAGTTCAAAATATAAATCTTAACTTATGTTTTATAGTTTGTTAATATCAAAAATAGAATAAAATAATCCTAGTTTTATAATTATTTAAGTACCTTCAAAAAATGAAGCAATAAAAGAATCATAAAATATAGAATGGTAATTAACTGGTAGCTTCTAATTGAATATTAAAAAAAAATCTTTTATTTCATCCAATTATTGAAGCATAGACCATTCTGACTTTTACTAATAACTTTTTGCATCAGTCATTGATTTTAAATCTTAATGAAGAGGGGTAAATAAATTAGGAGATATAATTTCATTTATAAGAATTTTTGAAATACTTTTGCAAATTACTTTACCTTTAGTATTGAAATCACTTGTAAGATGATCTAAAGCTTCAAGTTTTAATTAATCCTTTAGATGCTAAAATTATTATTACAGAAAATTAAGATTACAAATTCTCATCATCATTTCTATAACAAGATGAATTTATTATTAGGCTAATTATTTTTAATCAAGAGGTATGCTTTATTTATTTTTAATAACTGCAGGAAACCAATAGGATATTAATTTTGTTTTTTGTTCAAGATTTTATTCCATCTATTCCAAATACATTAATATAGCAGTATAGAGTATATGTTCCATTTTGCTATTAATTGTTTTTTTGAAGAGATTATCATTCTTAAACTTAACCACTTATTGTAAAGCTTCTAAAGATTTAAATAAAATAGAGCAAAAGTCTTCTATACTCTTAGTTTATGTTTATTGCATCAATTCTTTAAACTACAAACTTTCATCTAGAAATTTTTCTTTAGTAATTAATGATTATAAAATTTTTAATGTATTTTGTTGAGATTATTGGAACCACATTTCTATTGATCGACCAATAATTTAGAGTGCTTTAGCATTTAAATTATTAGGTAAGAGTTGATCATCAATTAAAGCCAAAGTGAAACATATGGAAAAAGCACTTAATATAATCATAATAATACTTTCCATTTTTATCTTCTGGAATTAATCCTTTTTAAATACAGAGCTCAACCTATTAAAGTATTAAATATATTTCTGATAATGCACCCATCATAAAATGAAGGAAAAACAAATTCTAATTATTTTGATTATCAGGTAATAAATGTTATATACCTTTCTAAAAATAATCTATATATTGTTCTTTTNTTACGTAACAATATTAATCTATAAAGAGCAGAACAAATTTTTTTATTATCTTATCGCAAATGATATTATTCAAATGTTGCAATTAAATCCTTATTTTACATACTAAACCATATAGATATATCTTTTATTTCAGCTAATTATTGTTTAATCCTCATTTGTAAGACATTACTAGATATTTATTTTTCTAAAAAACTTTATAATGTCTGAAATTCTAAAGTAAGTAGTTCAAAATATAAATCTTAACTTATGTTTTATAGTTTGTTAATATCAAAAATAGAATAAAATAATCCTAGTTTTATAATTATTTAAGTACCTTCAAAAAATGAAGCAATAAAAGAATCATAAAATATAGAATGGTAATTAACTGGTAGCTTCTAATTGAATATTAAAAAAAAATCTTTTATTTCATCCAATTATTGAAGCATAGACCATTCTGACTTTTACTAATAACTTTTTGCATCAGTCATTGATTTTAAATCTTAATGAAGAGGGGTAAATAAATTAGGAGATATAATTTCATTTATAAGAATTTTTGAAATACTTTTGCAAATTACTTTACCTTTAGTATTGAAATCACTTGTAAGATGATCTAAAGCTTCAAGTTTTAATTAATCCTTTAGATGCTAAAATTATTATTACAGAAAATTAAGATTACAAATTCTCATCATCATTTCTATAACAAGATGAATTTATTATTAGGCTAATTATTTTTAATCAAGAGGTATGCTTTATTTATTTTTAATAACTGCAGGAAACCAATAGGATATTAATTTTGTTTTTTGTTCAAGATTTTATTCCATCTATTCCAAATACATTAATATAGCAGTATAGAGTATATGTTCCATTTTGCTATTAATTGTTTTTTTGAAGAGATTATCATTCTTAAACTTAACCACTTATTGTAAAGCTTCTAAAGATTTAAATAAAATAGAGCAAAAGTCTTCTATACTCTTAGTTTATGTTTATTGCATCAATTCTTTAAACTACAAACTTTCATCTAGAAATTTTTCTTTAGTAATTAATGATTATAAAATTTTTAATGTATTTTGTTGAGATTATTGGAACCACATTTCTATTGATCGACCAATAATTTAGAGTGCTTTAGCATTTAAATTATTAGGTAAGAGTTGATCATCAATTAAAGCCAAAGTGAAACATATGGAAAAAGCACTTAATATAATCATAATAATACTTTCCATTTTTATCTTCTGGAATTAATCCTTTTTAAATACAGAGCTCAACCTATTAAAGTATTAAATATATTTCTGATAATGCACCCATCATAAAATGAAGGAAAAACAAATTCTAATTATTTTGATTATCAGGTAATAAATGTTATATACCTTTCTAAAAATAATCTATATATTGTTCTTTTAATTCAAGACATTCTTTACACATTACAGTTAAAAGAACAGAAACTTAATTAAATGTTTTTTCTGATATTTGATTCTATTAAAATTGTTCTCTTTTAATAATCATACTATAATAATGATGACCTGTTTGTTCCATAATTTTGAGCATTAATTCATTTGTATTTTAGCATTCTGTAAACTCAAGTGAAATACTTGCAACTATGTAAAATAAATTCATGAAGGCAATTAGGAAAGACTAATCACTTGGTAATTAAGACCAAAAACTAGTAGTAAGTCCTAATAAATCTTTATATAATCTATCTGAATTCTTCTATTTTAGTGCAAACTACAATTATGATTAATTAATAATTTTTTCCTTATTAATAATATCCCATAATTATTCAGTTAATTATTAAGTAATTACAACGGCATCCTTAATGTCCAAGTTTTTTATTCTTAAGGCAGGTTATAGTATTTTTTGATAGACTAGAGAGAGTAAAGTAATGCTGACATGAGCAGGTGAAAGCTTTAGTGCATCAGATGCAAATTAATATATTAAAGGAACAAAATCCATATCAATAGTTGTTGGTTATATGATTGCAGATAGAATAAGCTCTAATAAACATTGATTCAATGGATAAGAAATTTCTTCTATTTGAGAATCAAAATTTACTTGAGCTATATCTTTCTCATCAATAATAATCTATTTTAGTAGATTATTAAAATATTTTTTTTATTAATCTAATTAAGAATTCTAAATATTAAATGCTTATAATAATAAACATTAGACCCAATATTAATTTAAAGTTGAAAACATTAATAACTTTTTTAGAATTATGTAATGTTTTTCATTATTTTTAATTTCATTGTACAATTAAGGTGTTTTTATTACCATTAAAGCATCTTTGATTAATGTAATAAAAATAGAACTGGTAACAGATTATTCTATATTAGATTATATGGAATTTGAAAATAATTCCAATAATTTCATTGAAGCTAAATTAATTTTGAATTTATTTTTTGTATGAGTTATTAAAAGTGGCCAATCTTAATTTTAACATTTATATCTAAGCATCATTAATAATGTAAATTAAAAGAATTCTTGCTATTGGAATTCCTTTGCCAAATCCCTAATGATTAAATAAAATTATTATACATATTATAAGGGATTTCATTATTAAATATACCAACTTAATCTTTAATTATAATTGGTAAAGATTTTGTATTACTATTAGAAGCATATATTTTTCTGATTTCAATGAGTTTATCTTTGTGAGATTATAATAAATCAGTTTCATTAATTGATCCATTTTCATTTTATTTTGATTATCCTGTTCCAGATGTATTGAGTTTTTTACCACTTTGATTTATAGATTAGGCTTATAATTGATTTTTCATTCTTTCCAAAGTCTATTATTCTGGTTGGACTGTATCAAAAAATTGTATTTATAACATTAATTATTTGCCAATAATCTCAGCATGCCTTTTTTAATAATAATTAGTACTCTTTTTGTTGTATATAAAATTTTTTAAAGGAATCTATAATTTTAGCATTTTTTTTCTTTTCTGTGATAATTGCTGCTTCTATATTATTTTACATGGCAATTATAGCAGTTTATGTGAATTGATCTATTTACTATTTTTCAACATTTTTTGCACTCACTAATTAATCTCTTTCTTTTTTTTATTGATCACACTAAATATATATTGATAGTCTACTTTTTACATAACAAGTTCTTTGTTTTATTTGATATCTAAATAAGCTTAAAAAATATCTTGTTCTATTTGATTAACATTTTCTGATAAAACCCCAAGAATATCACTAATTTTAGATGTTGAGATAATATTTTTGTCTATAAATTCTTTAATTGTTTTATTTTCAAACTCTCTACAAGTAACTAAATTTTTTAGGTTTAATTTTACATTCTTTTCTTGTCAATTTAATTAATTATTCAGAGATGGATTTCAGAATGGCTTAGTAATCTTTTAAATATGAACTGAATTCTTTTAAAGTTGTTTTTTAATGAGACATTTATAGACTCAATTATTATTTTGTATACTATGTCATAAGTAAATATGTTACATCTATTTCTTAATACAATAATTTTTTTGAGCTCATTATTATATTATTAATATTACCCGTTTTAATGAAGTTTGTGATATTTGTTGTAATTGGTCTAGCTTTAGCAGTTCCACTTTCAGAAGATTTGGCTTAATTGTCTCTTTTGTAAACACCTAAAGAGGAGGTGTTAGAACAATTAGGTGATTTATTGAGTGAATTAAGAAAAGAATAAACAATGGATGATACTTAACTAGCTCAAGTATATTATTTTGATATAATTTAGACTAATGCAAAATTAGAAGCTGATATTTTGATATCATAATCCTAATTAGAAGCTCAAGTGAACTAATTAAAAGCTACCAACACCTTAATTGGAGATTTGAGTGAAGAAATCTACTCAATTTCAAAAACTTGGGCCAATCTTAATTAATAATTAACAGATTTAGGGGCTAGAGATATCTAATTAAGAGATTCTTTAGCAAATGAAGGTGCTGCTTTTGAAGTAAATTAATTTATAAATAATTTTAGAACGAATCATCATAAGCAAGAAGATCAATTAATGGTCTTACATAAATCATATCAAAATTAACAGATGCTGTTTTATCTTAATAATCATTAATTGAAAAATAAGAAATTGTGAATGTAATGAAATAAGAATTGGGGTAAAAGCATCCAGTAGCATTACTAGTAGAAGTAACTTCAAAGTTTGATAAAGCCACAGTTTAAAATATTATCTTAAAATTGGAACACATTCAATCATAATAAGAATAATAATTGATACAATCAGAATAAAATTGGACTGTGTAATAATAAACTTATTAAACTTTGCTTAATGAAATTTCAGAAGTTTCTAAAAAGTTGAGTTTTGATGCTTCCACTGCTAAGACTTCAATTGCCAAGAAATAAAATGAAAAAGTAACTGCAGAAAAAAGAAAGGCTTAACTTGAGACTACAATTCCATAAACTGAATAAGTCTTAACAAATCTAAAATAATAATAAGAAGCATATAATGTGGCATATTCTGCTAGAAAACAAAAGAGGTATAAATATTTAATATAAAATATAGAACTCAAGAAGTTGAAACTTTAAAGAGTGCTTTTGAATTGTTAGAAAAAAAATTAAGATGAATACCATATGAATTACAATTTAAAATTATTATATCGTTATGATCTTGTTGATAATAATAATCAATTTAACATTATAGCCAACAAGAGTGTTCCATAAATAAGAAATTCTGAGCTAGAACTACCTTCCTAACAAATTTCGCATTTTTTGGAATCTGGGTTCCAAGCATATGAATAAAGGGTGAATGGCAAACATTAAGTTTATGTTAAGGTTGTTGTATCTAAATCTATACATTTATCTGTTTCCCATTTACAAAATGTAACTTATTTTGAATCAATTGAAAAAAAATAACATACAAGACTCCTCTGGCAAAATAGAACAAGTTAATGGTTTGCAAGTATCACCCCAATAGCATGATTATGTATTACAAAGATCAATGGTGGCATAATCAGAACATTGAGTTATTGTTTTTGCTTCACAAGTTTTGGCTGTTGTATTTTTGACACATTGTTTTCCATCAGGAGTAACAAGCCAATTACATTCATCATAAGGTACTTTGTCACAACTTCCAATACTCATAGCAGAGTCTTGTGTTCTATCCATACATTTCACAGTTCCAGCTGTATTGTCAATTGTATCAACATCAACTTAACATTTTATCAAATCATAACATTTCTCACCTTCTGCAGTTTTGAAAGTATAATCAGAACATTATGTAAACTCTTCGCATTTACTAGTTGTGTAATTCCAAGTGCAATTGAATGGATCAGGAACACCAAAGCAATCTTCTTAACTGAATCCAGAGCAAGGTTTGTTTGAGCATGTTGATTCATTTGGATCCCAAGTGCAATAATCACTCAAACAATCTGATTATTGTAATAAATTTTCGCATTAACATTAATAAACACTGGATAGACTTAATGTTGTAGCAGAATTTGCTATAATGAGCAAAGTGAAACCAATTAAATATATCTTCATGATAATATTTTTGTTTAAATAAAAATAAAGATTTTATTTTGATATCAAATTCATATTTATAGGACAAAAATGTAGTTAAAAAACTCATTTTCTAAAAATAATTTCGGAAATTCTTAATTGGAAATACTGATACTATTTTTAACAATTTAAGTAGAGTAATTTAAAGAATATTCTATTGAAAAACTTGATGTACAAACAATTTTAGTAACTTAGTATATAATTTTATTATTAACATAAATAAGAATGGATAGTAGTCCAAGATGTCCTTTTGGATTTTAAACAGAACCAAGCAATGATTCTCCTGTGAAGAAAGTTAGTTTTAAGGAATTTCTTATTCAAAGATAGAGTGTTCATAAATCAACATTACCTGCAGTTGTCTAATAAAAAAATAAGAGATGGGAAAAACAATTAAGTTCTTTATTATCACCTGAAATCAGTTCTTTTAGATAAGTATAATCAAATTAACAAATACCTTTAAATGAAATAGTGAAAGTTGCTAGAATCACAAATACAAAAACTAACAATGAGTACAATTTAATATTATTGTAGCAAAGAACAAGAATTTAAGAAAATTAAATCAGAATCATTATCAATACCATTACTTAATATTCCAATGATGCCAACAAATGGATTTTTTAAATTTTAACCCTAACATCGTATGAGAAAAACTGGAATGTATAGTCTAAGAAATTGTAATGAATAATTAGAATAAATCAACAGAAAATAAAAGTCAAATGTTAACAATTTTTCTCTACCTTAATTAACACAAGAAGAGATAATTACATAATTTTTCCAAACGAAATTTTAAAAGTCAAATGACAATGATGTAATTCATGATTTATATATAATTTAGGAATTATAACATAAACCAATTGGATCTAGTGCAAGATTAGATTATGAGGCAAACATTCTTTTTACAAAAATCACTTCTGATTATACTTTATATTAAAAGTATAAAGGAAGACATATTAAACATCTAAAAGAAGTTTATCGTAGTTTATTAGGTGTAGGATATGACAAAGAAATAATGATGGACCCTGGAAGACTAAAAAGCATTCATTCCTAATTAAATATAAAAAATGATTAGTTTTTAAGATTTAAATACTTATTCATAAATTAGTTTCTCGAAATGGAAACTCCTTTAGATTTATTTTTTAAAGGTTGTCATAAGATAGAAAGTTTTAAACCTTTAGTTTTAAATAAGGTATATATATTAAAATTTATTAATAGCCTTTAGATTTCGAAATATATGGTTAAGATGTAGGAATTAAGAAAATTACAGAATCAATGTATGATAAAATTTTTAAAGATTACACACTTTCTCCATATTTTATATTGATAGATAAGGAAACTTAGGCTAAAAAATTCTCTCGTTTATTTGCATAATTGATTGATCATACAGATTCTCCAAATTATACTTTAGAGATATTAAGAGAAAGACATATTTAATATAATTTAACTTTAGTTTAGTTTGCAAATTTTAAATTTTATCTTTCAATGACATTGTAATAATAATAAATAGGATTTAAACATATAAGATAATTATTAAGAAAAATGGATACATACAAATATGCAATTTTAAATAAAGAGAGTTTATAAGAAACAATAAATGCATTTGGATATAGAGAATTTATTGATGGATTAGTAAAATAATGTTAAACTGAACCAATGTTATATGAATTATTTAATAAACGTGGTAAATATAGATTTACAGCTCATTGTGAAAATATGATTCATTTTTTTTTTCGAGACAATGTCAAATCAATAACAGATTAAGATATTGAATAAATACATAAATGTAATGCAATAATTTCAGAGAAAGTATTTTAAAAAATTAAAGAACATACATTTTAAGCTTTAATGAAAATAACAAAGGATTCTCTAATACTTTCTGATTTTGAAGAAGATTGGGAAGAAATTAAACCATTTATACTGAACAGATCAAAAAAACAAATTGTAAAATAATTGGGAGGATAAACTTTTATTAATAACCTTGCTTCTACTTTGGCATTTGAAATGCAATAAAGACCTCAATTAAATAAGGTCTTTGAAGTAATATTTTAAAATAATTAATTATTATAGGATAATGATACTTGTGTAGCTTAGAATTTAAGATGTAAATTAAATTTAATGCTTTATGGAATTCATTTCTATAAGAAGACAGAGTTAGAAGTACTTCATAAAAGATTAAAAATAACAGATTAAGTTTATTTTGAATTTTAATAAGTAAAGATAAATCATAAATAATTTAGGCAACAAAACACATTCTTGAAAATTTTCCTAAATTGTAATGGTTAAATAGAGTATTGGAAGACTATAAAAAACATATTGTTTCTGATTTTTGATGATAACTTTAAAGCATATTTTATATCTGATTATAATAAATATTTGTAATAATTATAATAATGTTTTCTGAAAAAGAACACTCAAAGTCAGTTAAAACTTGTTAATTCAGAGAATTTATAGAACTATTATCAACTGATAGAAAGCAATTCCCACCAATCTTAAATAAAAGAAAATCCCAGTAAACTCTTGGAAGCATTATACACCATCATAATGAAAGTTCATAACTAAAAGATATTCAATTAGCTTAAAATATAAGACATGTATAAAATAATAATATTATTGAATATGCCTCAAGCTTGTCGCAGTTAAGGTTTGATAGCTATTTAAACTTAACATTAAGACTCAGATATGAATTCTAATAAATTTAAACAAATTATAGATAGTCCTTCATATAAAACCTCAAATCATATAGTTTCTTATGAAAAAAGTAGTTTTAGTTAACATTTTCGTATAACATCATAAAGATCAAGTCCACAGTAAAAAAAAGTGAATTTAATACGAAATCATTAATTGTTTGTTGATTTAGTTAAGGGAACAGAGAAAATAAAAAATGATATTGGTTGTCCACTTAGTCCTTAACTTTAAAAATCTTAACAATAGATTATTTCAGGATATTTAAAAGATTTAGCAAAGTAAATTGATTTAATAAATATATAAGAAAAAGACGAGTAGTTTAAAAACCATAAGGGATTGATGCAAGATTAGATTTTGAAACTGAATTGATTTATGCAGCCTTAACTTAGGATTGTGATTTAGCAAAAAAGTTTTAAAATAGATAAGGAAATCATGTAAAATAAATCTTTAGAAATATTTTGGCAACAGGATATGATCAATAAATTTATTTAGATTTAAATAGGATAAGAAGTATTCATTTGGGATTGAATTTAAAAAATTTTCATTTCTTTAGATTTAAATATCATTTTATGAATAGATTTATGTAAATGGGAATACCTGTAGAATAATTATTCAAATGTTGTGAAAGAATTGAAAATGTTAGACCTTATATTTTAAATGAAAAAATGGAATATGATGTTTATGGTGGTTAAGATGGTATTGAATTATGTGCAAATTAAATGTATGCCAAAATTTTTGCTGATATTACATTGGAATATTATTTTGTAGGTATAGATAGAGCAACTTAAGCATCTAAATTTGCAAAATTATTCTTTTAATTGATTTATCATATGGATTCTCCAAATTATACTAATGAAGTTTTAAGGGAGAGACATGTAAAATATGAATTAACTAATGTTTAACTTACAAATTTTAAATTTTATCTTGCATTAACTTTATAAGAATTATAAGTTCCATTTAAATATGCTAGTGCATTACTTAGAAGAATGGATATTTATAAATATGCTGTTATAAATAAAAATAGTCTTTAAGATTATATATGTAATTATGGTTATAATTAATTTATTGATTAATTTGTAAGAAGTTGTTTAGAAGAACCAGTTTTATATGATTTGATATAAAGAAGAGGTAAAGCAAAATTTACAGGTCATTGTGAAAATATATTCCATTACTTTTTTAGATATAATGTAAAAGCAATTACTTTAGATGATCTTGAGGAAATTCATTATCACAAAACTATAATTACTGAAAAGATATTTATGAAATTAAAGGAAAAGGCTATGGCTGAAGTTGCAAAACTTACAAATGATCGTATTGTTTTAGAAGACTTTGATGAAGATTGGGATGAAATAAAACCTTTAATATTGAGTGATCCTAGAATGTCTTTCCTTAAAACAAAGGATAGAGATCTTTTGATAAATGAATTAGCATATAATTTAGAGAATGAATTTTATTCTAGATAATTGAATGTGATTTATGAGGTATTGATAATAAATAAATAATATTATAGACTGAAGAAATTAATATGATGAGAAATATCAAAAGCAAATTAAATCTTTTAGTGTATACTATAAAATTTTTTAAGAGGACAGATTTAGAAGTAATTCATAGAAGATTTAGAATAAGTGAAAGTTAATATTTCGATTTTTAATAAAGTTTTAAATCACTTTTAGAGAGAATTCCAGAACTTCATTATATTCATGGATTATTAGAAGAATATAAAAAATATATTGTTTCGGATTGATATCTTGATTTATTATTTTACAATTATATTTTTTATAATGCTTAAATTTAATTATTAAATCATAATAAAATATTAATGTGTGACTAATTTCATTAACTAAATGATGAATGGACTATATCTGAGAAATACAAAGCTTAAAATAGCAAAGATGATTATAAAAAGACAATTGTTGATATTTGTTCAATTAAAACTGTTGAAGAATTTGCATTTATAATGAAATAAACAATATATTCAAAATTAACAGATATATTTAGTGAACCATAAAAATAAAAATAGTATCATACTTTCATTAAATGATAGATTCAAAAATTTTTTAAATAATGCTATAGAAACATAAATTGATGCAATCTAATTTTTCAAAAATGGTATTAATCCTTGTTGGGAGGATCCTGAAAATGAAAAAGGAGGTGACATACAATTTGAAATTCCTATTACATCAATCGATATTTATAATGAACTTTATACTAACATAATATATGAGATTATAGGATAACATAAGGAAGAGCTGAGACATGTAAGAATTAGGAAAAATCTAGGTAAATGGAGTCAGAATCTTAGATAAAATAAATGCTGACAATGGAATCAGAATTGAATTATGGTTAGATATTGATCCCATAGATAAAAATGAACAGGTATAATACAATATTAAAAAAATTGATGATTGGATACTTTAATTAGCAGAATAATATAATATTAAACAACTTAAATTAAAAACATAATCGCATAAGAAAAAATGATTGGGTTGTTTTTTAAGTATAATATAAATAGACTTATCAAATATATTTATAATATACTTTTTATTTAGACAATCAATTTATAAAACGACTAATTTCAATAGCCAAATTAGCGTCATCTTCAATAGGAGGCATATGACCAACACCAGGTCTTATAATAAGTGTGCATTTTTCTTCACCTATCTCTTTTGCATTGCCTTCTGCATAAACCTTAGGTATTACTATATCCAATTCACCATGATAAATTAACACAGGTCCTTTAATTTAGGAAGCCTTGTTTATACCTCCAGATCTTAAAAATAGTAATAAAATTACGATATATCAAACTGATTTAATGCCCAACAAACATCAGTATATTATGTTTATAAAAAAGTTTCATCCAATAATTATTAATATTCTTGTTCTTCTGGATATTTACCACTATTGAATAATACCTTATCAAAAATCATTCTCATAAATTCTCTATCCTTATCAGATAATTTTTATTATTATAATGCAACTTTTGGATGCTCTTTTACTTATTATTTTGTTTGACATCTAACTTATCCTTCTTCATCTTCTCTCATTAAAGCATAACCACAAACACTTCCTGATGCAATCAAAATGAGTTTTTAATATTTATTAGGATAATCAACTGCTAATTACATACTTACAATTCCTCCTAAAGACCATCCTGCTAAATAAACATGTTTTTCATAATACTCATCATTTTTATCTGATAATAATGATTTTAATAAAATATCCACATCATTAGATAAATCAGTAATTTAATCAACATTGTAATTACCTTATGATCTTCCAAATCCTCTTAAATCCATACTAATACAACGAATTTTTGGATTAACTTATTATATTTATAGTATCAATCTTCTCCAATATTTACAAGATATTAGATTTCCATGAATCAAAACTAAAATGTTATCATAAGCATTATTATTGCTATGAGTATCTTCATAATATAACCAACTTTTTATATCCATTTCTCAAAATTTTATTAAAAATTTATTTATTGAATATACTATTCAGATATTGGATATTGTTTTCTTTTATAAAAAATACGTATAATATTTTAAGTTATTTATAATATATAAAAATATTAATTTGAATACATATTATTATTTTAATTAAAATGATACTCATTGCAATGAGATACTAAAGACCATAGTTTCATGCAAGTCAAGTAGTAAAGAATGCTATTCAAAGAAGAAAAGGTATAAAAACATGATCTAATTTGAAATTAGATAGAAAGAATGCTATGCAAGACCATTTAGAAAGACTAGCCGATAAATTAGAATACAAGGCATTTCCCTATCATATAACTCATTATGATCCTGCCCATGAAGATTATATACCTGCTTAGAGACAAGATTATAAATAGAGATTGACTGTTGACACTCACAATATGCTTGTTGATGGAGTCAAGAGAGATGTGGCTATGCAAAGATAAGTAGATGAAGCAATAAAGAATTTGGATAGACCTTATTTAAAAGGTAAACCAGGAGTAACAAAGAATATCACTGGAGGATTGAGAGATTATTTTCCTATTGAAATGCCTTATGCATAAACAGGCAATTTAGAAAATGAAGAGTTGGAATATGAAAATGTTTTCAGAAATGAAAAAAGATGGATTGCATAAACAATTGCACCAGTAGAAAAAACAGAAAGTGAAAAAAGACACTAAAAAGAATTGGAATCAAGACCAGTTACAAGAAAATTTCATCCAGATAAAGGTTCTAAATATGATGTTGAAACTCCTTATCATTTGAGATTCCCATATTTAGCAGATAGATTGGGACATCCAGAATTTTTAGCTAATCCTTTTTAAAGATTATTTAGATTAGAAAGTGATATGTATCATCCAAGTTATAATGATTAACCATTTGTATAACATCCATCTGCTGATCCTGATCCAACTTTAAATTTTGAAGAAGGTGAAGTGATTTATGAAAATACAAGATTACAAGAATGGTTGAAATTTGTTTGGTGGACTGGAACATTCAGTTTTGCTTGGATTTGTTGGGTATTACCATATAATATAGTTTACAAAACAAATTTAATGTTTGATCATTAAATTGATGCTTCATTCTATCCTTATCATTTATAATCTATTTATAATATGGATTATATGAGAATAAATGTTTTGGCAGCTACTGCAGCTTCTGCTTATTTATGGTATTTCCATCATATGTCTATGAATGACATTGGTAGAAATTATGTAACAAAAGTATAATACAGTAAAGACAAAGAATTAGTTTTTGTTACAAGAATGGGTTCATTTGGAGTTATTAGAGAAGATGTTTTTGAAACTCATCATTTGGAAGTCTTACCTTACTATACTAAATCAGGTGTTTAAAATATGAGATAAAATGTAAATTTTTCAATTTATTCTTTTAGGATTTAGGTATGTATGAAATCTCTTGCTTAAATAAATAAGAACTTATGTATTTATACAAAGAGGAAGCTTTCTGGAATCCTAAATTGAAAACCTAATTCCTTAGCAATCATTCTTAATTGATTTCCAAATAATACTTTGGATTAAAAAGGTAGATGTTATATTTTAATATAGAAATGAGGAAGAAGAATATTAAAAAACTTTAACTGTGGGCGAATTGCCATTAAAAGATCTACAAGCTCCATGAAGTATATCTATGTCATCAAAAGTATTAAAACAAAATTTTATTATTCAAATATTAAATTGTACTAATTATATAATAAATCATTAATTCTTCAACCAGAAAAATAACATTATTTTAATTCCTCGAATAATTCAGCATATTCTTATTTTTTAGCTTTCTTCAAAAATTATTCAATTTGAACTATTGAATTTATTTAATTAATATTCAAAAATTTGCAAATGGTTTTAAAATGTAATGGAATACTTTATATATCACAAATTCTATTAATTAAAATGCACATCATAATAAGTAATTTTACATAGGGATAATTGTTATCATCTTAAGTTTCAAAAAATGATAAAGTATTTGTTAAAATATATCTATATGAACGCTTAATATCATCAAAATTATTTATTTCTTTATTCTAAAAATTTATATTATTATAATTTTACATCATTCAAATAATTTTCAATAAATTTGTATAAATCCTTCAATACTCCCTCATTCTTATTTTAATCCAGTATCTTTTATAACTAAATGTAATCCTTCTATAATAATAATCGTTAATTAACATCAATATCAAATTTAATCTTACTAATCATTCTTTTATACTCTGCAGAGTGTAATGTAAATCTTTCCCATTCCTATGTAGGTATAGAGTAAAGATTCTTGCATTATTCTAAAGAAATCTGATATTCTTTCTTTAGAATTATTTAAGCCTTCTTCATTCCATAAATAGCAATTACAATTAAATATTTATTACACTATTATAAATGTGATTCCAATTCTTCAATTAATTTTGTCATTAGAGAAAAGCGATACAGTTAAAAATATATTTGATTCCAAATATATTAATCTTAAGGTCGATCAGAATTCAAAAATGGTAGTACACTTAATAATATATCATTTTCAAAGGGAGAATTATTTATTTTGATTTCTTCAGTATCATATTTTGTTTTAGATAATGTTTATGTTTATGGTTAATAATTCACTTTGCTTATAATCTAATCTTAATTAAGTGATTTATAATTTTAATAATCTTCTGATTCAGGAGGATCAAATAAGATTAAATTTAAACAATCTGTTTATGATGAATCTATGGTACTCTTATCTGAAAGTAAATTTTGAGATGTTTTAATTTACGAATCTTTAATCATTTTCTATTAAAAGTAAGATAAAATATTACTGTAAAATTAGATGTTTATTAAATTTCAAAAGCTGTAGATTCATCTAAATTTATGTTTGATTTCTTTTCTCTCTTTTCAATTATTTTTTATGTTATACTTTTTAATGTATTCTATTTGTAAAACTATTCTTAGTGAGAATAAAATTAATTATTTTTAAATTTTGAAAATAATTACAAATAATCTATTCTTTTATTGACATCTATTGTTAACATTTATATCACTAATTTTTTTAAACTTTCTGAATAATTTGTTTAGGCAATAGACAAATTAATATCAGATGAAACCTCATTTAAATTTTTCATATTATATTTTGGCAAGTCATTACCAACCATCAAATAAAATATGACTCTTCCTAACAAAAATATATCTATCTTCTCATTATATATTTGATTGTATATTAATTCTGGAACTTCATATTCTAGATCAGGATAAAATCCATATTCCATCATAACTGAATACTAATTTTCAACAATTAATATATTGTGAACATTAAAACACCGACCTAAAAGTCCTTTTTAATGTATAGTATATAATGCCATCAAAAGATCTTAAAATATTTTTAAAATCACTTATTCCTACAATTATTTAAGTTCAGATAGAAGATTATATACTTTATATGACTCAAATGCATAAAAACTTTAACTTCCAATTTTATTTAATTTTCGTAAATATTTGATTTCATTTTACTGTTACATATCATTAGTAAGAAATTCGTTTATGTGATTTCTGTTTTGGCATTCCTATTTTGGAAAGTAACAAAAATAAGTCTTATCTTAAATTTTAACTAAATAAATTTTAAAAGCTGTAGATTAGATTCTAGTTAAATGTCCTTATTTCATTAATTCATTGTCTAAATTCATGAAAGTATCCTCTTGATATAAATTAAAATTAATTATTCATGAATCCATTGCATTTCCATGGTCTTAAATTATTTAATATTGAATTTATGGAAAATAGCAATATCATAATCTATCTGTCTAAAGAAAATAATAGCTTAAAAAAAATCTTAAAAAGAAAAACCATAAAAGACCTTATCTTCAATAATGAAAATTAATGTTATTTATTTCTTTAATTATCCCTAAATTCTATTGATATCCATTACATTTGATTTCTATAAATCATTTTTTGAAGATATTCTTGAATCTATTATATTAAATTATTGAAATTAATATAAATCTATTCAAATACTAAAATAAACTGTTAGGATGATCACAAGATAGCTCAAAATTTTATAATGATATTAATTTATACTAAATTCGAAAAAATAATATAGGATAAGATTTAATCAGGTTCATAAAATTTAAAATAAGGATATGTATTTAAAACTATGATATTTAAAGATTAAAATAATATCCTAAAATTCATTTAGATATAAATTTATTTTTTGTCTAAATAATATTAAGAAAAAACTCAATTAAAAACAAAAAAAAATCATTTATTAAATAATCTCTCAGATCTATTTTTTTTAATTTATTTTGGTTAGTCATTTTATCTTTTTATTTCTTCAAATAAATCCTCATCCTTACCATTTTCACAATAATTACAATTACAATCAACCGTACAAGTCTTTTATCTAATAAAACATTCACAATATCTTTTTAGACATCTAGTCTTTTTACAATTACATCCCCAAACTTCTTTTGTTTCAAATAATTTCTCTTAAGTAACTTTTTTATTTCTATGAGCTTTTTTCTTAATGTATTCAACTGCATCATTTCTTTCATTTATATATTCATCAGTATTTTAGCAATCTTCACATTTACATTATTCTACACATGCTTATCCATTATGAAAACATGAACAATACATTTTCAAACAATTAGTTTTTGTACAACTACATGGTTGCCATTTAGTACTCTCTAATTTAGGACTCTCTTCTTTTATTAAAAATAAATCTATTTATCTATTAATAACTTGATGAAGTTGTTCATTATTCTCTATATTTGAATTCCTATTTTCATTAAAAAATATGTTACAATTTTCTTAATTTTACAATTTTTGGAGATTGCTTATTTTCTAAATCAATTTCGCTAAACTCAGAACATTTACTCCATGCTAATAATAATTTCGGAGGTTTATTTTCTTCTGAGAGTTCGTGATTACTCATTAGAAAAATATTTGTAATTATATTTTTATAAATAATTTATTAATTATTGAAATAAATAAAATAAAACAAATCTTAAACTTTATTAGTTATATAATAAATTAGTAGAACTATAATCAAATTCTAAATTCTAATTTATTATAAATTGAATTTGAATTAATAAATAAATGCTCTTTAATTATAATTAGTTGTGGTTAATTTTTATAATTATTTTTCAATTTAATAAATGAAAATGTGTAAAATTTAAAAAATACATATTATACATCATTTTTTATAAACTCCATATAAATCTGTCACAGTTGTTTTAGTAATTTCAAAAGTCTTGATGAAATAATCGAACGTAAGAAACTAATTTTTACATAATTTATTACTCCAAATTCTTTTGTTCTTTCAAATACTATATTTTTTGCTAATCCCCATTTCTCTTAAACTTAAGGTTCTTAAAATTTCTTATTGAATTCATCATATTTTTATTTAACATTATCAGTAATATCTATTTATTTATATATTCAATACATTGAATAGTTTCATTATAAGGTTTATGATCAATTGAAGATTAGATTTTTTAATCAATTTCTTATGTACGATTGTTGTTCATTTTCGTAAATTATATAATCTAAATTAATATTGTTTATAATTAACCAAAATGAGCTTTAAATTATGAAATCTTATTATTCTGATTAACTCTGTTAATCTTTTATAGATTTTAAATTAAATTTCCATTTTTATTGAATACTCTATCATATTTATAATTAAACTAATAACAAATCTTAGATTCTACTAATTGTTGATCTTTTTATATAAACCAATAGAAGAACATATATAAGTATTTTCAACAATTAATTTTAAGTTCCGAAAGGAATCATTAAAATTCATATTAATAATATATCATGCTAAAAACTCAATATGAATAAAAACATGTTAAATAAGTATTTATATTGTTCAATTATTTTTTTACTCAAAAATCATTAATTTTTTATTCCTCTATACTTTACTCTCCGTCTTTAAAGTGTTAAATATCTTCATTCATATCCTTAATCCAATCTTATAAAATATTCCCAATTATTAAGTTCTTACTATCATATCAAACAGTATGTTGCTGCAAGTTGGTGGATATGTTATATTAAACTCACCTTTTGAGAGAGTTAGAATATAATTTTTAAAAGAATTGAAAAATTATGAATGTTTGACGATATAGTTTTTGTTAGTTTTAGGTAATGTATTTTAAAAGAAAAAATTTAGGTTCTGGTTTGCTTGATGAATAATTGAGTTCAATGTGACATTCATTTATTTTAACTGAAAAGTACATTAGTTTGACCATTTAACTTTGAATATTAGGAATAATTTTTGTATTTGCAGAATAATTTAATAATTTTTTTACAATATTCTTAAAAATCTTCATCTATTTAAGAAAATACTTTTCAAATCCACTAGATTTAATTTTTCAATTTAAAGTAATTCTAAATTAACTTGAGCTTAATATTTTAATTTAGCAGTTTTTACAGTAAAATAATTTAGTTGTTCAAAAATTTCTTATGAATAAGATGATATATATTATTAAGTATTTTTCTTTAATCTCTTTTATAAGAATAATATTAAACATAATTGATATCTGATGAGAAAATTAGAAATATAGAAAGATAAAAAAAAATTTGGAGAAAAAAGGCTAAGTTGTGAAAGTAATTTGAAACCTTCTTTCACTTCCTCGAAGATGACTTCTAATTGAACTTTGTATATCTTAGTAATTTTTAGAAATTATTATATCTAATTTATAAATATATAATTAATTCTGTATGATAATTATATTTAATTATAATTAATTATGGTTGTTCATTTTGTAATTTTATGCACAAATATAAATTTAAAATATTGTTGAATTGAAAAATGCAAAATATCATTTATGGTAGAGTCCATGAAGATCTGTGAATGTGGTTTTAGTGATTTCAAAAGTCTTAACAAAATAATCAAGAGTAATATACTATAATAAATATTTGTTTTTTATTACTCCAAATTCTTTTGTTCTTTCAAATAATATACTTTTTGCTAATCCCCATTTTTCTTAAACTTAAGGTTCTTAAAATTTCCTATTGAATTCATCATATTTTTATTTAACATTATCAGTAATATCTATTTATCTATATATTCAATACATTGAGTAGTTTCACTATAAGGTTTATGATCAATTGAAGGTTAGATATATGTAGCCTATTCTTATTTACTATTGTTGCTCATCAAAATTTAGATATTTTGTAATTTTATTTAAAACAATTTCAATTATTAAAGATGAGAATTTAAAATACAGGATCTTTTTCATTCTGATTATCTCTGATACAGTGATTCCCTTGAACTTTAGCTATGGCTATATTCTACTTAAGTGATAATTTGCTAGTTAATCTATGTTAAGAGTATAAATATATTTAAAGGTTTATGTTATAATAATTTAGGAGTTGATAATATTTGAATTCAAACAAAAATTCAAAATTTAGTTTTATTAATGAATAGATTGTCTGTTTCTGATTTTGAAATTATTAAAAAATTAGGCTAAGGTTCCTTTTCATCTGTGTACAAGGTGAAAAGAAAATCAGATGGTTAAGAATATGCTATGAAAAAAGTTTAAATGTCAGGATTGTCAAATAAGGAACTGAATAATGCTTTAAATGAAGTTAGGATTTTAGCTAGTTTAGAAAACCCATATATAATTGGGTATAGAGAAGCTTTTATTAGAGGAGACAATTTGTTTATAGTTTTGGAATATGCTGGAGGTGGAGATTTATAACAAAAATTAGAGTATATAAGAAAAAAAGGATAAGGGTTTTATGTTGATGAAGAGTTGATCTGGGCTTATTCATTTGAGATGCTTTAAGGATTAAATGAATTACATAGTAAGGGAATTTATCATAGAGACATTAAATGTGCAAATATATTTTTGACTCAAGATCATAAACATATTAAATTAGGTGATCTTAATGTTGCTAAAGTAGTAAAAGCAAATTAATTTGCAAATACATATGCTGGAACTCCTTATTATGCAAGTCCAGAGGTTTGGATGGATTAACCATATGATTAAAAATGTGATGTATGGTCTTTAGGATGTGTTATATATGAGATGGCATAATTATAACCACCATTTCTAGCAAATGATTTATTTTAATTGTAGAAAAAGATATCTAAAGGATAATATGAACCATTAAATCCAAGGTATAGTAAAGAACTAAATGAATTAATTGCAAAATGTTTATAAATAACATCTAAAAATAGAGCTTCTTGTGAAGAATTATTAAATTTAGCATAAATAAGAAATAGATAAAATTCAGTTTCAATATCTTATAGTAATTAAAAACTACTAGGAACTATTTGTTTAACAAAAAATTATAAAGAAATACGATTACCAAGACCTAGATATTAAACAGAAATGAATGAATCTAGTATAGTTCTTAGTAAAGTTTAGACATCTAGAGGATATCGTGCAATATCAAATAATAGATCTGATGATTCTAACAGTCCAGCCAGTAGAAAGTTCAAAATAAAAAATAAATTATCAAATCATTAGAATTCTGTTGAAAGAAATAATTCTTAAAATGATTAGTAATCAAAAGAGAATATTAGAAATATCAATAATCTTTATCAATTATAACCAAATAATCATTAACATTATCCAAGTGCTCAAGAATATAAATATAATAATGGATCAAGATAAATTACACCAATATTAAGAAAATAATTATCTTCTCCTTTAAATTAAAAATCTCCACTAAAATCAGAAATTCAGTAAGATATATAATTACCAAAATTAAAAAAAAAATAATTGATATTTTAAACAAAAGATCACTTAAAAAATGTTAGAAAATTAATATGATAATTTAATCTTTTATATTAAAAAGCTATGCCAAAATATAAGCAGGGTTATTTTTTTTTCATTAATTTAAATATCTATGAATGGTCATTATTTCAATGGTCTTGATGAGTATGAACTTGACAATGAAGAATCCATACGTCCTAAATGGAAAGAAACAAGGGAATCTAAGATTGGATTGGATTCTTAAAAGTTTTAACCTTTTCTCAAAGAATTTCTACATGTATAAGATTAAATTATGTGTTTTAAGACTATTAATGATAATTATAAGATGACAGAGGAAAGAATTGAAGCCTTTTATAGAGAAAAAGAAGTTATTATTAAAACATTTGAAAATTAAAAAGTTCCTCCTCCATTTTTAAGTTGGGCATCAGCCTGTTTCCCATCTCCTATATTAAAATCCATAGAATAATTATAATTTAAGAGTCCAACTATAATTCAATCTGTTGGTATTTTAATAATTTAATTATTTAATTTAAGTATTTCCAATAATTTTAGCTGGATATGATGTAATAGGAATTGCATAGACAGGATCAGGAAAGACTATTGCATATTTATTACCAGGATTAATTTAAATTACAAGCTAAATAAAAGAAGAATAAAACAATACTTAAAAATAAAATGGACCATAAATGTTAATTTTAGTACCAACAAGAGAATTGGCTATACAAATAGAATCAGAAATATAATTATTTACATAAAATTATCGGTTGAAAACACTGTGTGTTTATGGTGGAATCAATAATAGAAAAAATCAATTTTATAATTTAGGAAGATCTCCAAATATCTTAGTAGCTACTCCAGGAAGACTATTAGACTTTTTAAGAGAAAGAGCTACTACTTTAGCTGATGTGAGTTATCTAGTAATTGATGAAGCAGATAGACTTTTAGAAATGGGTTTTGAAGATACAATTAGAGATATTGTGCAATAAATTAGATTAGATAGGTAGACTTTATTTTTTTCAGCTACTTGGCCCAGGGCTGTTAAAGATTTAGCATTTGATTTTTGTTAATAGAGTCCAATTTATGTTTAAATTGGAAAATCTAATTTAACAATAAATAAAAATATTGATTAAGAAATTATTTGTCTATTTTCGAGAGACAAGCTATAAAAACTACTTGATATTCTAGATACTTTAAAAATATCAGATAAAGTTCTCATTTTTTCTGAATAGAAGCATAGGTGTGAACAATTGTCTATTGATATGGCTGAGAGAGGATATTACACAATAGCTTTGCACGGTGATAAGACATAACCTTAAAGAGAAGAAATAATGAAGGCTTTTCGTAGTGGTTATACTCGTCTATTATGTGCAACAGATTTAGCATCTAGAGGATTAGATGTAACTGATATTACTGTTGTAATTAATTATGATTTTCCAAAATATTTTGATGATTACATTCATCGTATAGGAAGAACTGGAAGAGGAGAAAAGAAAGGAAAGTCTTTTAGTTTTTTGACATATGATAGAGATGAACCCAAGATGGCCAGGGAACTATTGAAATTGGCTTAAGTAGTTAATCTTAAATATGATGAATCTGCTTTAAAAAATTTTGCTATTGGAATATGTAAGAATATCAAAAATATTTAGTTCCTTAAATGCGTAATGATTTTGAATTTGATAGATTTAAATAATAGTAAAGAAATAATAATTAAAGAGGTAATGTTGGATTCTCAAAACATTCATAAGAATAATATCATATTGATCACTAGAAATCTAAGTAAAAAGTTATATATTTAAAATATAGATATTCATAAGACAATAGAAGTTCTGTAACAGAAAATAATTCTTCAAAATTTTAAAGTTTTTAGAATTAAAAAGAAGATGTATAAAATGGAGATAATAATTAGTAATAATATCAATTAATTAAATAGCAATTTTAGATTTAATGAGGATTACTAAGATTAAAGTTAATAATCAAATAGAGATTAATTTTAAGGTAGAAATTAATGGAAAGAGCATGGAAATTAAAAGGATTATTAGTATGAGAATGAGGAACATAGATCCTAAAATTATTATCAAAAAGGGGATAAGAAATAATTTTATGGAAAATAAGAGAGAATAGATAATAGATAAATGAGATAAGAATAATCATTTGATTAGAATAATAAATTTGTTAATGATCAAAAAGATAGATTCTATGAAATTGATAATTAATAGAGGTAGTTTAGATAATAAGGATAAGATTGGTCTTAAAGATTTGATGAATAACAAAGATAAATTGGTAAGGATATTAGATAAGAATATGAAAAGGATAAATAATTTACATCAAATAGATAAGATAGACCAAAATGGCAATAATTTCAAGGAAATTAAGATGGAAATTATAGATAAGATAGATATGATAGATAAAATAAAAAATAATAATATGATGATCGAGAATATTAATAATAAGATGATGATATAAGAATCTTGAACAATAGATAAGAAAAACCATATAGATAATGGGATAGATAAGATCAATCAAATAGAGATAATAGAAGAATAAATAATCCTGACTAGGATAATGATGGATATGAAAACAGTCAATAATAATATCAATCTAAAATTCCCCATGAAAACAATTCATTTAGATGGGAGAACTAAAAAAATCAGAAATAATAGGATTACTGGAATAATAATAATAAAAGACACCAATAATAATAAACAAGATTTGCTGGAGTTTAAAGTAATTCTAGAAATTATGATAACTAAGGGGATGATTTTAAGAATTCTAGATATGAAGAATGCAAAAGACAATATACAAATTAAGTTGATGAAAGGAATATTTAAGAATGGAATAATAAATAGCTAGAGAATAATGATAGAAATAAAAATTAAAAAGGTTATGATAGACATAATTTATTTAATAATAATTTTGGTTACTAGGTAGAAGACAATAAAAGAAATTAAAAATATAATAATAGATCTTATATTTAAGAAAGACAAGAGGATGGTAGGTCTCAACAATATATAAATAATGATTAATTTAACCATCATAATTAAAATTAAGTAAGAAATTATTATGATTAAAATGAAAAAAGAAGATTTGATAATTTTAGAGATACTAGATAGTCCAATAATTAATAATTTGATTAATACATTAATTAAAGAAAATAAAATGATAATAGATTATATAGAAATTAAATAGATTAAAATGGTAATGAGGATAATAAATTTAAATCACATAGAAATACTTAAAGTTTAGAAAGAAATGATTAAATAAGATTTTATAATTCAAAACAAATTACTAGAAATATTGTTAAAAATGATGATTAAATAAATGTTGTTTAGTAATAAACATAAATACCAAATAACATTTTGAGAAATAATAGTAATAATAATAAATAAGAGCCATAAAAAAATTAAGAAAGTATAATCAATAATTAATAAATTGAAAAATAGATTCAGAATTTAGATGAGAATAAGAAATAATCATCGAAAATTATTGATAAGCAATAAGGAATGGAAGAGATTAATGAACTTTAAGAATATAATTTTAATTATGATCCAAATAAATCATCATCTAATGATGGTGAAATTGAAGAAGATAATAATATTGATGATTATGATAAAATTGTATAAGATGACAATTAAAATGTTCATTAAAGTGTTAACAATGAAGGTCATAATATTGTGTTATAATAAATACCAAAAACAATTGATAATTTACCAATAGCAACCATTCCATAACAATAAGAAATAAAGGATGAGTAATGTTAAATTATCAATGATGATACCAATTAAATAACATGTAATATTAATGAAAAGGAAGAAGATAAAATAGAAGAAGGTTCTGATAATGAATATGATTTTACAAGATTCAGTAGAACTCTTGAATTGGAAAGAAATTAATAATTTGAAGTTACTTAGTAGTAATAATTTTATTTATTAAAAGATAATAAGCTAATAATAATAGAGTAATTGCAAAAGAAGAAGAACTATAAATAGATTAGAAATAAGAATCATGAGTAAACTAGTGAATTATTATAAGAATATTATAAAATAAATATTGTGCCAATTTTCAATTTAAGGAATTATGTGTATTCTATCATATAATCTTCTAAACTGATTTCAGTTATAATAATCATATATATAATACTTATTATTATAATAAGAATTCAAACAATAAATAGGATTGAACTTCTAACATTCTTTTTAGATTATTAAATTGTTTGTTAAAAATAATTACAGTATTTATTTGACTTTTTACAATTTTATAAGATTGATGTATTGTTAATTGTCTAGTATTTATACTTCTTTGTTTTTAGTTTTGTAATTAAAAATAATAATTAATATAATTAAAATGGCTGAAGGATAATCTGACACGTTTTGGAAATCACTTTATATTTATTTCAATGAAATGGATTTTGAATCTCAATTGTTCGTGAAAAAGATATATAAAATCATTATTCTAACAGTGGCTGTAATTAAAATTTGGATATCCTTAGATTATTTCATTTATTATTGCATACTTCCTAGAGAGATTTTCGGTATGTGTATACTCTACAATTGGAGCAAGCGTTCTTTGTATATTAGTATACTCTAAATTGTATAATATATTAGGTATTAGCACCTGCTTGGCCTATGTGGAAAAAAAATTAACCTAATTGGTAACAAGCAAATTGGTAAAAACAAAAATGAATTTTAATATATATTATAATAAAATTTAGTTTATTTTTTATGAAAGGTTAGCTTTCTTATATTAAACCTAAGAATTAGATAACATTATTTCATTAACCTCTTTTACTTAACATAATATGATTAAATTTTAATTTTTTTCTTTTTAAACTATTACTTTATTATAATATTTGAAAAAGTACAGAAGTTTCAATCTAAGATAACAAAAGTTTATTTAATATATATATTTATTTTGAAAATAAACATCTATAAACATTTTATAGTTGATTTATATTTCAGAAATTAGATAATAAAAATAATATTATCAATAATTTGCAAACCTTAAGTAATTAATTCATGATCTTAAATATAATAAATATAATGAAGGGTTATTAAATGATGATTTTTCTAATTGTTATTTTTTTGAATTAGTTAATTAATATAAAATTTAAGAAAATCTTCCTAAAATCCACAAAGGTTCCAACTTCAATAAAGCATCGAAATATATTGTATTAGAAGGAAATTAATTGAGTTTCAATAGAGATTCTAAGAAAAAGCGTTCATAATTCATAAGAGCTAATTAAGATGGAATAAATTTCAGAAACTTAGAGAATATTTTCTTCTCTTGATTGTGATTTAAGAGCACTAGAAAATCCACAAATAACTTTAAATAAGGTAAATTCAAGAGAAGATTCGGAAGAAATTAAGAGTATATTTTTAGTAGAAGTAAACAATAAAATTGAATTTAAAAAGTAATAAAAAAATGAGGGTGCAATTATAAACGATTAATAATTAAGAAAGGGTATGGGTAGACTCATTTCCTGTAATTAAAATGCTAGTTTTTTTTTGAAGAACATAAATATTGAATAAATTTTATATTCATCAAAATAAACACAATATTGAGTTACCTTATTAGAGTTAAAAGATAAAGGTTAATAATTTGATAGGTATTCAAAAAGCAACTATAAAATATAATAAATAAGAGCTAATTCATTGAGGAGGTGATTGAAATGATAAAGAATTAACAAAAGATGTGTAGATCTATTGTTAAATCAGTTTCAAAACAAAGTCAATTACCCATATCCTAGAAATGAATTTCCAAAAATAAAAAAATGTCAATCAAAATAAGGCTAAAATAAAAAACTTCAATAAAAATATAGATAAATGAATTATAAGTTAAATTATAAGGATAAGTGTTCATTATTTTTGTTGATGATTTTGGTAGTATAAGTGTGTAATTCTTTAAAAAAATCGTTTTTTAGATGGGTTTTGATTTTGTATTTGAAATAAATTTGGTCTTAGAAAGGATGAGTTAAAATAGATTAGAGAGTTTTTGAAAAGGACTTTAAAGTATTGTATTGACGTAATGATTGTATATTGGAAGTGAGTTGGTTATAGGATTTTGATAATTTTATGAAAATTATAAAAAATAAAATAATTAACTCTTGGTTTATTTGAAATTGAAATATTTAGACAAGAGAGAGTATATCAAAATTAATTTGTACTTTTGGTTGGAGTCTTATTTAGAATGAAGTATGAGAGTTGAATAATATATATAAATTAATGATTTTTCAATAACTAAAAATTACTTTACCTCCTATTGGTTCTTAAGAAATCGAGAAATCAATATAGAAAAGAATGGGAGATTGCTTAGAGACATAATTAGGATTTGAATACGAGCCTTTTACTTTTCAATATTTAGAATTACACCCCGATTTGGTTACTATTAAAAATCAAGTATACAAACTTATAGTTATATATGCAGAAAATCGAACATCATCCCATTGAGGATTAATAACATGTATAAACAGCATTGGGATGCTTTAGTAAAGAAAATAAGATACGCTTATTCTTAAGTGAAAACATCAATGTTTTGCAACGATTAGTGATTATAATGGTGATTGTAAATACTATAGCATTTTGTTTATATGACTATTAAATTAGAGATAGTGTTAATAATTTAAGTAACAGGAACATAGCTTCGATAATAATTGAAACAATATGCAATGTATTTTTTGGGATTGAGATAATTATTCAGTGTATTTGTTATGGAGCTATTTTTGGGAAAGGAACATATCTAAGAAATATATGGAGTTGTTTAAACTTTCTAACTTTCGTTTGTACATGGTCAATTTATTTTGATTAGTCAATTACATTCATTTAATTGTTAAGAGTTATTCGTTTATTAAGATTAGTGAGGCTTTTGCAAGAAATTCATTATTTTAGAGAACAAGTGGAAACATTTTTTTCATGTTTTTTAACTATTCATACAATAATAATTCCTTTAGTAATAGTGATTTTTGGATTTTCTGTAATTGGATTACATTTATTAAGAGGAGTAACAGGTTATAGATGTGCAAAAGATGGAATTATTGATTTGAATATTAGAAATCTTTGTGGAGAATGGGAATGTCCAGATGGGTATATATTTATATATAAATATTTAGTTATGAGTGCATAAATCATTTTAATTCTGAAGATTTAAATTATTTAGACTTTTATTATGGGTATTATAATTTTGATACTATATATGATTCATTTTTAAGTGGATTTATGTTTTTTAATGCAACAGGTTGGTCACCAACAGTTTTTTATTTTTGGAAAGCTGTAACACCTCCAGCGACAGCAATATATTTTGTTTTTATGCTTTTCATTTTGTATTTCAATCATATATACTAGACATTATACTTTATCTGATTTATTATTAGCTACATTATACGAATCATTTCTTGTTAGTAGTGCAATAAAAAATAGTATAAAATCCAGTAAATCTGAACTATTTACTTAGAGAAGAAGGACAGTTACATTAATAAACAATTAAAACAAAGCTTAGATTAATTTTCATAAATTGCATATGATATCATAAATTTCATCATAAAATAGAGCAAATTTAGTAACTCCTGCAGAGATTTTACGTAATGAAACATTGAAAGAGAAAGATAAATCTTGTATAATTAATAGAATTAAATAATTTGATTAACTAATTATCATTGCATCTACTATTATATTATGTGCAGATTAAGTTGAAAAACGAAATCATCCAAAAGAATATTATGCAGATATGGTAATGAACTTCTTAATAATAATAATAACTCTTTTAAAATTGATATTATTTAAAAAATCAAGAAGAAAATTATATTTAATAGTAGATGTACTTTTATCATTAGCATTAATTGTTGTTATTGTATTGGAATTTTTTAATTTTTAAAGCAATGTTTTTATTATTATTAAAGCATTCAAAGCATTTAGAGTCATAAAATTAATATATAAATTAGAATACTTTGGAGTAATTAGATTATTACTTCGATGTTTAATAGAAACTATAATTAAAATTAGACATCTTATTATATTATGGGTTATTTTTGCATTTTTAATATCAATTATAGGATAAGAATTATTTGCTCATTATGTAAAAGGATCAAATGAAATTGAAATTCATTTTAATGGAATTGGAAATTCATTAACGGCTGTATTTAATATTTTTTATGCAGAAGAATGGCATGTAACAATGTATCAACATGCATTGTATAAGCCAGTATCATCTTTCATCTTTTTTTTAATTGTGTTCTTTTTATGTCATACTCTTTTTATGAGATTATTAAGAGCCTTATTTTTAAATGAATTTGGAAAGAAATTAAATGAATTAGATTAGAAATATCCGTAAACAGACTATTTATAAAGAGCTTGGTAATATATAAAAAATTCTTGTTTCTAATAAGAATCAATCTAATCTTCTTCTTAATCTTAGAATGAGGATGACTCAAAAGCTCCTCTTTAAGAAACAAATAATAATGGAATTTCAATTAAACCTAATATTAATTAAAATAAAGGTTCAAATTATAAAAGAATAGTTGAACATAAAATATTTAGAATAAGCATTTTATTAGTTGTAACATTAAGTGCAGTGAAAAGTGCTGTTTAAAATCCTTTAACAGATCCTAAAAGTGAAGAAAAGGTAATAAATTGAATAAGTTTTAGATGATTCTTGATATTATTCAATATATTACTACAGTAATCTTCATCATTGAATTGATTCTAAATTGTTTGGCCTATGGGATAGTAAAATTCATAAATCAATCATTTCTTAACATTTTATCTATAATAAATATTATTGTGAATCTAATCTCAATAGGATTAGGAAATCCTCCATTATTTATTTTAACTTTATTTGATTCTCTAAGAGTACTAGCATTTTTAAAAACTGGTGCTGATTAATATCCTATATTAAAATAAGCACTCTAAGCCTTATTTAATGCTTTTACTAAGATGATTTAATTAGCTCTATTTAGTCTCCTTATATTATTAATGTATGGTATTATTGGAATGTAACTTTTAAATGATGAATTCTATTATTGTAGTCTTCCTGAAGGAAATTCATTAGAATTAAATTTACAATCTAAGATTGATTGCTTTGATATAGGAGGGAATTGGATAAATAGAACTCTAAATTTTGATACTATATTTTAATCAATAAATATCTTATTTTGTGTTGCCACTTCAGAAGAATGGATTCCATTAATGACACCTGCATGGTAAGCTTCAGGGATTGATCATTAACCTCATCATGATACAAATAGATATTGGTCAATTTATTATTAATTATTTTTCTTTATTGGCAATACTTTAGTTTTAGGAATGTTTGTTACTTTAGTTGTTGAAACTTATATAAAAACAAGAGAAGAATCATGTATAAATATTATTATTTATAAAATAGAAAATCTTCATTTATTGGATGACAAATAAAGAGAATGGTTTCAGATTAAGGAATAAATATTGCATTTAAAACCAAAGAAGAAATTTAGGCCTCCAACTAAGTTTATATTAAATTTGTTATACAGGTTATATTAGTTTTTGTAGATTCCATTTTTAATAGTAATTTTAAGTAACATCATTGTACTAAGTCTATATCATGCAAGAATGGGACAAGAATATGAATAAGTTTTAGATAAAATCAATTAGATTTTTATCTTTATTCAATTATTTGAAATTTTAATAAGTTCAGTATAAATAACAGATTACAAGTTTAAAATTTATGAAATTATTGGAATTGTCTTAAGTGTTATTTCTAGCTTTTTAGATTATCATATACTTCATGTAGTATCAGTTGCATTTCAAGTAACAAGAATATATAAATTAACTTAACATTTTAAATCAATACAACATTTATTTCATGCCATATTTGCTGTTTTACCTAATACAGCTTCTATGCTTTTAATAATGTTAATAGTCTTATATTGTTATACTATTGTTTCTTGTGATTTATTTGCTTATTTACGTCCTTAATAATCAATAAATGGATTTGATATGCATTTTAGAGATTTCTGGGGTGCTCTAATGACTCTAATTAAAGTATCATCTGGTGAAAAATGGTGGGTTGTAATGCAAGAAACAACATTACAATAATCACCAGCTGTTGCCTGTATAAATATTGAATCATATGATGAATTTTCAGAGATTGGATTTAATGGGTGTGGATCTAATCTTTCTTATCTATTTTTTATTTCATTTATACTTGTATTCTCTTTAATGATTTTAAATCTCTTGGTTGCCAATATCATAGGGGCATATGAATAATATCATAAAAGTGAATAGAGTGCTATTTCTAAATATTAATTATTAGATGTTATGGAATTATGGTCATAATTTGATGAGGATGGTGAAGGATTTATAAGTTATAAACTATTTTGGAGATTATCATCTTAAATAGCTATAATATTTGGTTTAGAATAGTCAGATTTATTGGATGTCAATAACAAAAAGAAGTTTTTAAAAGCTTTGAAGATTCCAATTTATGAATTAGTAGACTCAAATGTCCTTTGTTATAGATTTCATGATGTTATTGTGAGTTTAACAAGGATTTCTGTGACTATCAAATATGGAGTAGTTAATTTAGAACCTGAAGACAAAGATATACATCAAAAGGTATATGGTAATAAACATTCTCATGTAGAACCAAAGTTTAGAGAAACAACATTAAATAGTGGAGATATGGTATATAATTTTTAATTATAATTAGGTGTCTATTATTTTTATTTAATAAAAGTTTAGAGAATGGAAATAAAGATCCCTTCTTAAAAATACTATTATTTTGGGTGGAATTGGAGATTATCGTAGTTTAATCAAAATAAAATCAAAAACACTAAGTGAAAAAATACATTAGTAGGCAAGTAATGATAATTGATATACGTATTTAAATTAAATATATTAATTTATTAAATATTAATATTTATTTTTTAATCCAAATAATTTTTAAAGTATGTTAAATGCTATCTTAAAATTTATTCAATCTAAATAATATGTTTTATTGATTGCTATTTATTATTAAATTATTTATTAAATATAAAATCTAAATAAATAAGATATATGTAGTTCTTTTGAATAAATAATAATTATAGATAATAATTATTAAATATTAAGAGAATATAATAACATTTTATGAGATTAAGGATGATGAGAAAATAGTATATTGGAAATTATTTAAAATAATTTTGGAAAATATAATAATTATAATTTTTCTAAATTTAGACAGGCCTATAATTTAAATAGAGAATATTCAAAATCTATCATTAAATGGAACATCATATTTATATAAGAATATTTATATATGTAATCAAATTTTAAATTATTACAGAATTCAAAAGATATCAAAATCTATTGTATGCTAATTTATTTTTCAATTTTATTTTATTAGATACAGAATTATGAAAAATATTCGGATCAAACAAAATAATTATAAAAACAAATTAAAAAATAGTTGAATAATCAATTATGATTTTTCTTTTTGTATTTAACAAAATAATAATTGAATCCTAAGTTTAGATCTGCATCTAATTTGATTTTGTATATAGTTAAAATATTCAACTGCTTTAAATTCACTATATGATATTGACGAAGATTTCTATAATCTGAAAAAAAGAGAATTATTAGTCTATAAAATATTTATTGAAGTACCAGTGTTTCATAAAAACTTTCAAAATCATAATAAATGTTTATTTAATTACTGGATTAAATTCAGATTTTAAATTAAATACCGAGCTATTAAATATAATAATAACAAATCAACCTGTATACCACTATTGAAGTTCTTTATTTTTATTTTCAGATAGAAATGATCAACTCATTTATCTTATATAAGAGTTAGACAATATATTTGATTATATTTTATATACTGTTTTAATTAGTTTAGTATTTGACATTATATTATATAATGTTATTGAGGTAAGAGAGAACTGAATAGGATTATACCATGAACAAATCCAAGAATGAGCCAATTCTTAATAGAAATAGTATCACTCAAGTATTAAACTATTTTACTAATGCTTAATTCAGGAGGACATTCTATTGATTTAGAAGGATTTATTACTCAAAGATTGTCTGAAGATAAACTGCTGATGGTCCCAGAAGAAGTCAGTGCTCAAATACCTCCGAGAGTCTCCCTTGAAGTTCATACTATGTAAAATAAAGTGAAAAAACTTAAATCAATAAAGATGGCCAAATTGCCAACAAAAACTTAGTTTATTTTAGAGTTAAGTGAAAATAGTGATTATAGAGAATTACTTGGGTCTATTGAAGATTTAGAAAGGAATGAATTAAAAAAAGCCAAATAACGATTACTTAAAGTAATAGCTAATTCAAAAGAAAGAATAAAAGAAGCTTAAACAAAAATTGAATAAAAATAGTCTTCAATTATTTTTATTTAAGCATTTTACTATTTGAGTAAAGTTTAATAATCAGAAGGACTTATTGAGGAAGCAGTTGCAACATAGACGATGATTTTATAAAATTTTGACATTGCAGATCTTCATATTAAAGGATAATTATTGTTGAGTTTAGGAAATTTATATAGAATTCAGCTTAAATTTCAAGAAGCTGCTGACAGTTTCTATCAAGCCTTAATTCTATATGAGAGACTTAACTGGAAAGTACAATAAGCAGATTGTTTATTGTAATTAGGGATAGTATATGCACTTTTAAGTAGATATTTTATTGTTATTAAGATGATTATGAATCAGCTAAATTGATTACTTATGAAGCCTTAGAAATTTATAGGGATAATATTATAGAGAATAATATTAAAGTTGGGAAAGCATATTATGCTTTAGGAAAAATCTTTTATTATTCTAAAGCATTTGAAGTGGCCACTGAATATCTATTAAAGAGTTTAAAAATTCATTCTGATTAGTATATTATCATCTAAAATTAGTTATCATAATGATTATGATTTCAACTTTGTTTAAATCTATAATCTACTTGGAATTTTATATCAAGTTTAACAACAACTAGATATAGCCATAGACTATTATACTTTAGCTATTAGATGTTATAGAGGATCTTTTGATGCCCAATTAGGATAGATATTAAACAATATAGGAGTAGCATATCTTGGTTTAAAGAAATTTGAATTGGCTAATGATTTTTTCAATAATGCTGATTAAGTTTACAGTATTTACTTTGAGTAAACTAACATATTAAGAAAACGAGTAAAACTTAACCTAGAATCTATAAAAGTTAAATAATGATATTCACTATATTTATTAATATTTTATGTTTAATTTAAGATATTTAAATGTTTTAGTCATATAATAGAATTTAAAGGATCCTCATCTTAAATATTTCTAAATGTCAATTAATGCAATTATACCTAAAGCTTTTTCTTAAGAATGGTAAACATTTAAAGGAAAAAACAATTAATTTTTAATATCTTCTCATTATCTGGGTGGTACAATTATGTAAATTACATTACCATCAGATATAATTAAAGGTCAATTTTTAGGTGAAAACATTAAAAATTTTTAAGATCTATTTCTACTGAATCCATCAGAAGTTTAAATCTTAATTTAATTGAATAACAATTTTAATAGAATAAAAAGTGAATTGACATACAAAATAAAATTTAGAAGTTATTATATATAGAGTACAACCCCTAATAGCTGATATAAATCGGTCATTATTTTCACCTTCAAAAATGAAATAAATAAGCCCTTAATATCATGTACTTGATATGTTATGAATAATTTATTGTTGTTATATAAAATATTATTAAATATTCTCACTTTCAGTACCAACCCCTTTCATCATCACATAGTTATTCCAATTTTATATATTGCTCTTATATAAGAGTACCTTCAATAATATTAGGAATATATGGTAATTCTTTTTTTTTTTGTTTTAATTTAATCCATTCTATTTCTTAAAACCATGGATGAGCTTAAATTTCTTTGAAATCATTCGAGAAACCAATTCTTGTAGATGAATCTTACTACAACAATTTAGAAATGAGATCCTTGCATTCATTAGTAATAGTGATTCCTTATGGAAAATGTAATTCTCCTTAGCATATCAATTTAATTGATATTTCTGTGTTTTGATTATAGAATGGAGAAATGCCAACTAGTAATTCGTAAAGTAATATACCCATACTATACCAATCTGACATTCTAGTCAAATCTCCAAATTTCAAATATTCTGGAGATGCATATTCAACAGAAAAGTTAATATTTTATTATTTTTTATATTCTTAGTAAACTCTCAATTTACCATATCCAAAATCAGTTAATTATATATATCCTTATTCATCTATTAAAATATTTTCTGGTTTTAAATCTCCATAAGTAATTCCTTTTTCATGTATACTTTATAAAGCCATACCAACTTAAGCAATAATATATTTTGCTTAATTCTCTGTAAAAGTACCAATATTCTATAAATGAGCAAAGAGATCTCCTCCTTTCACAAATTTAAAAAAAAAGTGAATTAAATCTGTTTATCTTATGCATAATTCTAATTATTCATTAAAGGGTTCAATTTCATAATTTTTAAGAAAGAATTCCATTAAATCAACATCTATATCAGATGATCTAATAGTTTTCAAGACCAGAACTTTTTATCTATCAGTTTTTAAACTTAATAAATATAGTTTTGTTAAAGAACCCTAATTTATAATTGCATTTTTAGAAAAATCTTCTAATTTAACTCTAAATTTTAATTTATCATTTACAAAAAGTACTGTAATTTTATGATTAATATTCAAACTTTTTGTTGGTTAGTTTTACATGTTTATATATTACAATTAAAAATCATGAGGATATAGAAATAATAATTTTGATTTAGGATGCAATACCATTTATTTTTAAAGATCAGAAGTTTTTTAATGTAAACAAAATTATTGAAGATCTTCTTAATCAACTAAATATATTTTTAAACCATCCTTATTATTAAGTTTAAGTACTATAGATAAGTAATATAATATTATATCTCTATTTTCTTGTGATTTATAATGATAATCAGTTTCTGAAGGTACATGCAAAATAAATTCAAAACTTGATCTAGAGACTGTTACACCAAATATCTTTTGAATTTATATCTTTCTTTTAATTGATTTTTTATCAATATTATATAAATTTTCATTTGTAATAACAATAGTTCTTTATTATTCTGTATTACGCTTATTAATTTTTCCAACATTTCTAGATATCAAAATTAATTCAGATTGACCTGCCTGCTTCTTAAAGAATTTTTCTTAATCAATATTTAGAATATCAGATATTTAAAGTTTTAATTCATTTAGGTATTGCTTCACAATTTGTTCTGAATGCATTAAAATATTATTAATTTTTATTATCGAATTAGATAATATATATTAATCATCTTCTTCCAATTGGACCAGCACTATATTGTCTTCTCATTCCAGATGGCATACCAGCAGCTCCTTTTTAATTACTCTGCTAAAGATTTCCTCTTGGAGACTATGCTCTTGGAGTAATCTATTATTATGGTTGATATGGAACATTGGAATATCTAAATTATAAATCTATTAATAATTACTTTTGTTATCCGAGTAATCTCTATTCTTATTATTGTACTTTATTATACAATTATTAAGGAGTCTGAGCTTATTATGGTTTTGGTGGTTAAGCCATAGGAGGTTTTAATAGAGGAGGTTTATTCACTTATTATCCTTAAGGTTATTATTATTATTATTATTATTATTAAGGAGGTTTTTACACTTGTTGAGGAGGTTTTACCTCTTCTGGTAGTTTTCTAGCAGGTTAAGGTGTTTAACTGATATCAGTATTGACTCTTATTCCAGATTATGAACTTGATCTTTTTATTTTGTTTTCATAATTAGCTTTAGGAAGATTGCCTTTCAATTGTTTAAGGTTATATGGTAATTTAATGGTTTGTAAGAGTTTAGCTACTTTCTTTCCTCCAACTTCCTCTTCAACAAGTAATGAACCACTATTTCTTATAACTATAGGGTTTTTTAGAATGGCATCACAACTGGGTCTATTACGAGGAACAACCTATAACATCATTTTTATGACTTCAGATAAATCTTTGCTATATTTCCCTGGAATTGGATCATATACACCAGTTTAAATTCTTCTACTTAATGATTGGAGATCAGCTGCTCTAAATGGAGGTTATTAGGCTGCTAATTCATAAATGATGCAACCAATTGACCAAATATCACAAGGCCATGAATATTGTTCACCTTTCCAAACCTCTGGAGATGCATAATCTAATTAAAATTAGGGGAATTATTATTATACATGGTGTTCCTGCTTATGTTCTAGCATTGGCTCCATGTGTTACTTTACTGATGTTAAGATCACCAATTTTGTATATGTTTCCTTCTGGACCTTTACCAATGAAGACATTCGCCAATTTTAAATCTCGATGTAAAATATTGTTGTCATGGAGCATTTTGACTCCAATTGTTATTTGTGTTAACACTCTCCAGATTTCTGTTTCTTCAACTCCTCCTTTGACTTTTCCTTACTTCAATAAACTATTTAGGTCTCCGCCAGATGCAAATTCCATTATTACATACAGCGTTTTTCCTTCAGAATCAAGAAAGGAATCTTTGAATTCAACAATATAAGGAGAGTCAAGTGATGCCAATATACGAATTTCATTTAAGGCATTCTCTCTCTCTTTATATGTCTACTGAGATATATTGACTTTTTTCATAGCATAATATTGTCCATCCGATTTCCGTTACACCTAAATGAACATATCTTTCATACCTTATAAACTGAAGAGAAGGATCCTTCTCCAAGTTTTTCTAGCACATTGAAATCTTAAATGGTACTGCCTTATCCTTATTATTACATTAATAAATAATGGAATTAAATTTTATGATATTTCCAATACCCAAAAACACTTATAGAGAAGGAGATCTCAAGGTTGCTTTATTGTCTTATCTCCTAGGAACTAATCAAAATTCCATTTTACGAAGATATATTTAAATTTATACCAACCTCTCCCAAAACAAAAATCTAGTTTCATAAAATAGATCCTTTTAAACCACCTGATGAAATACCCAACGTATATTAATTACCTCTATATCTAGGATATAAGTGCTCTATCCATATATGATGATTAAGTTGACGAACTGCCAAGTTAAAGAATACCTCATATAATTTAAACAACAAACCTCAAACCTAAAACTCAAATGTAATTTTCATATTTAAATTCAAAGACGTGAATTAAGATTGTCTATATCCCCTCGTTCCTCTTACAACAATGAATTCCCCCACACACTAACAAATAGAAGTTGTAAATATACAAAAGAAATTCCATGTTTATATTTAAAATCCTATACAATGACTAAAAGAACTATCATCTATTTCCATGCCAATTGTGAAGATCTGAAATCTTCTTACAATCTAATAGACTTCCTCAGACATAATATGAGAATGAATATTTTAGCTGTTGAATATCCAGGCTATGGAATTTATCAAGGTGAACCAAATGAAGAAGTTATTTTAAAAGATGCTGAATACATTTATAAGTATGTGGCCTTTCATTCCGGAATAGAGGAATAGAATATAATATTAATGGGAAGATCTATAGGAACTGGAGTTGCATGTCATGTAGCATCATTGTTTAAGCCAGCTACTTTAGTTTTGATATCTCCATTTCTATCCTTATAAGAAATCGTTTCAGAAAAATATCCTTTTTTAAGGAAGATACTTAAAGAGAGATTTACTAATAAAGATAAAATATTAAAAGTCAAATCTCCTCTATACATTCTGCATGGACTTAAAGATTCAGTTGTTTCAGTAGATCAAGCTAAAAAACTTTATGGTAATTTTAATTTCTATAATTTGTAAATAGAATTATGTAGATGTCCATGTTTAATTAGAACACCACCTGAAATGACTCATACAAGATTTCAATTTGAATAAGATTTAGCCTTGCCTCTTCTAGGATTCATGAGATAATTGAATATACTTTGAAATGTCCATATATTATAATATCTCTATTTGGGAATATAAATTAAGTTTTGATTCGTATTTAGTAATTGCTCACTTAAATTTCAGAAACTGCTGAATCCAAAGGATAACCAATTGAGCAAGTATTTTAGATTATGGCATATCAAAAATTAGAAAACACAAAGCAAATTGAATTGGTTTAAATACAATGGATGGGGATAAAAAGACACAAAATTCATTTTAGAACAAGATGGAGCAGTTAGATTAACAGGAAATAAATAAAAGTTTTCTAATGAAAAAATGATGAAATTTAAAGAGTAAGCAGAAGCTAAAGTAGGCATAGATTTAAGTTTGTATTGCGAAGCAAAAATTGAAATTCCTGCAGATCCTCCAATTATTAATGAATAATTTGTAAATGCAATTTGAGGGTTATTTAATGAGATTTCATTTACTAATGCTTAGAGAATATTGCATACTCATGGACATGCTATATGTAAGAAGTAAAAAAAAACTATATTAGTATTTTAGATCTATGAATTAAGACATGGAAAATTGTCTAGAATTGTAGATTGTGTTATTTATATCAGTTCACATACAAAAGCAGAAACTCTAGTTAATTTAGCTAGTGAAAATAATGTGAAATTGTGTGTCTATGGTGGTGGTATTAATGTTACTCGGGCTTTGTAATGTCCAAAAGAAGAAAAGAGAATGATTGTGTCTGTAGATATGTCAAGAATGAATCATGTTAGATAAGTGGATAGAAAGAATATGACTGATATAGTAGAGACTGGAATTACAGGTAAGGATTTGGAAAAAGAGTTATCACGTTATGGAGTTGCTTGTGGTCATGAACCTGACTCTGTGGAGTTTTCTACACTTGGTGGTTGGATAAGTACTAGAGCATCAAGTATGAAAAAGAATAGTTATGGAAATATTGAAGATATAGTACTTTCAATTAAAGTAGTAACACCAACTTGTACATTATAATAAAGTTTTGATTATCCTAGATTTAGCAGTGGACCTGATTTGAATTAAATTATTTTAGGTTCAGAGGGTACTATAGGTATTATTACTGAAGCAATAATTAAAATTAAAGCATATTTAAATTTAAAGTATGTAAATATGAATCTATTTTATTCCATAATTTTGCTTTAGGTAATGAATTTATGTATCAATTATCCAGAAGTAAAGTATGACCTGCATCAGTTAGATTAGTTGATAATAATCAATTTTAATTTGTATAGCTTTGAAAACTATGTCTCATAACAAGAGGGAAGAATTTATGGATAAAACAAAAAAATACTTTATAACTCAGTTTATGTAATTTGATCCAGATTAAATGTGTTTGGTTACTGTTGTTTTTGAGGGGACAAAATAAGAAATTGAATTTTAAGAGAAGAAAGTGTTTGAATTAGCTAAATTTTATAAAGGATTTAGAGCTGAAAATGGAGAGAGAAGATATTTCTTAACTTATATGATAGCATACTTAAGAGATTTTCTATGTAATTTTAATATATAGAAAAATCTTTTGAAACTTCAGTTGGATGGAAAAATGCACCTAGTGTTTTTGAAAATGAAATATGATTTGAATATAATTAGATATAAAGAAGAATGTTAAAAAAGAGGAGTAGAGAAGGAACCTTTTGTTTCTTTTAGAATTTCTTAGGTTTATGATTCTGGTGAAACAATTTATGTTTATTTTGGTTTTGGATATAAGGGAATTACAGATCCAGTTAAATGCTATTCTGAAATTGAGGATGCTGCAAGAGAGGAGATGATGAAAAATGGAGGATCTATTTCTCATCATTATGGTATTTAGTGAAATTTATTAAAATTATTAGGTGTGGGTAAATTGAGAAAGTAATTTTTGTAAAAGTAAATAGGAGAGACAAGAGTTGAGATTTTAAAGAGAATTAAGTAACAAATTGATCCAAAAAATTATATTTGGAAATCAGAATTTAATATGAAAAATGATATATCATTGTTTTATATGCATGAATATATATTTAAAACTAACAGTTAAAGAATTTGAATTCAATTAATTTAAATATAAATTTTTTAAGTCAATGAACAAGTCTGATACTATTCACAATTAGGAAAATATTGATCCAAACATCATTCGTAACTTATCTTCATAACAAAAGAAGATTCCTAGAAGTTCAGGATAAAAAACACCATGGAGTGCTAAGTATTATTTAATTATTATTTTTAAAGTACTGGAGAAATAAGTCATTCAACCAATGATGATATAGAAATATCATGTTTTTAAGTAGGACCAGTCAAAACTACTCAATTATCACCTAATTAAGCTATCGTATGTTAATCAAGATTAGAGTAATATTTGACTTCGAATAATGTTCCTGATATACTTTCCTATTTAGATGAATTTGAAGATCTAGATTGGGTCAAATCTAATTATATTACTCACATTATTGAGATGATAGTAAAATAAGAGAAGGAATATTTGAAATAAAGGATTGTTGGATTAACAGCTATATTAACAAGTAAGAATTATCTACTCACACGATAAATCATAAAGATGATATTTAGTGTATCATCTAGAATTGGAGCATAAGAAGGCTATTATGCTTTATATGAAATAGATAATTTATTAGAATAAATGATATAAAAAGAAGAATTATAATAATATCATTAAATATAATATTTTCCATTAATATTATATTGCTATGCTCACTAATTATTATATTGGGGTTTAGTTGCAGAATGTTGGGATTTATTGAAATTTAAGTTAAATAAAGAGATTAATGAATCAATCAAAGATGAATTTGAGAAAACTGCACAAAAGATTTGTGATATGCTTTTAAGATAATTAATTGAATTAAGCAATTCAAATAATCAATGGATGAAGGTATTCAATGAAGTATTAAATGAAGGTGTAATCAATTTACATCCATCTGATATCTTCTTTAATAAATTAATTGATTATGCTTTCAGAAAACAATAAGTCACAATGGCTGAGTTATTATTTACTTTTATGAGAGACAATGCTAAAATTCAACCAACAATTGTTACAATTAATACAATGATTGATTAATATTTCAAGAATAATCAAAAAGACAAAGCTTGGAAAGCATTTGAGAATCTTAAAATATCATCTACAAAACCTGATAATTTCACTTATACTACATTAATAAATGGATTAAAGAATTCTGATAATATGGATCTTAGATTAGCATTTTAATTATTTGATGAGTATAAATAATTCAATTAACCTGATCAAATCATCTATAATTGTTTATTAGATGCTTGTATTAATGCTGGTGATTTAAATAGAGGATTTCTATTATTAAATGAAATGAAATAATCATAATCTATTTAATTAGATGAAATTACTTATAATACATTAATCAAAGGATGTGGAAGAAAGAAGAGATTAAATGAAGCTATTAATTTATTTGAAGAAATGAAATAAATAGGTATCAAACCAAATAGAATAAGTTTTAATTCATTACTTGATTCTTGTGTTAAATGTAATAAAATGAATATTGCTTGGAGATATTTTGAAGAAATGAGAAAATAATATGGTATCTTTCCAGATAATTTTACTTATAGTATTTTAGTTAATGGAATTAAAACTAATCATTCAAATAGAGATGAATTATTAAGAGCAATATCCTTATTAGAATAAATATAAGAAACTGGTCAATTTAAACCAGATGAGATTCTATATAATTCATTAATTGATGCTTGTGTTAAATTTAATGAAATTTAAAAAGGAATGTAATTATTCAAGGAAATGAAGAATAAATAAATAGAACCATCATCTGTTACATATGGTATTTTAATTAAAGCTTATGGTAAAATGAATGATTTAAATGGAGCTTTTAGAATGTTTGAAGAGATGAAATAAAAGAAAATACCAATTAATGATGTTACTTATGGATGTTTAGTAGATGCTTGTGTAAGAAATGATAGATTAGATTAAGCACTTTAATTCATTGAATAAATGAAATCTTAAAATCTACCAATTAATACTGTTCTATATACAACTATTATTAAAGGATTTTGTAAGTTAAATTAAACAGAAGAGGCAATGAAATATTTTAATTTAATGAAATAAAATTAAAGGACATATCCAAATCTGATAACTTATAATTCACTTTTAGATGGATTAGTAAAAAATGGATTAATGAATTAAGCAGATAAATTATTCTAAGAATTAGTGGAATCAACAATAAAACCAGATCTAATTACATTCAGTACTTTATTAAAAGGACATTGTAGAAGAGGTAATATGAAGAGATTGAATGAAACAGTATAAACTATGTTAGTTTATCAGATCAATCCTGATGAATCATTATTACAATTAATTCTAGAATCTTGTTTAAATTAATAATAATATCATAATGGTGTTCAAATATATGATTAATTCTAACATCAAATACCTTAATCAACTTAATTATTATTGATCATCATTAGATTACATAGTTAAGATAAGTAATTATCATCAGCATTACCATTATTAAATAGACTCTATTAATTGTTGGATGAAAGTAGAATACAACATCAATAATTAGAATCAACTATTAATTCCTTATTAATCAATCCACTTGATGAATAGACTTATCCAATAATCACTAAAATCATCATCTAAGCATTAAAATCAGATATCAATGTGAATAATTTAGAAAATCTAGTATCTATAGACAACTCAGAATTAATGCTCTTATTATAGAATACCAATTAATTACCATGTAATAAATTATCATAAATTCTCAATTCATTGTCTAATTAAGATTAGTAATTGTGTAGATAATACATTTCAAAGAATAATAAGAATGACTTGAAAGAACCTTTAAATGAGTAATTTGGTTAAGTATTTTTATCATGTAACAGTAACAACAACTATCAAAACAAGAAAACTAAACCATAAGAGAGATCATCACCATTTAATAATGAAAATAAGGAAAATGTTTATCATCCAAAGAAACAATATAACAATTATGCCAAAAATGACTTGAATGAATATTTGAATAACAAGTCATATACCAAGAGAAGATGATTAATTAATTAATATTATATAATGAATAATGATTAAACATTTTAAGATGTCGATCAATTTCTTCATCCCCTTGCTGCATAATAATCTATACCTCATATATAATAGGCTATTACATAAGATCAACTTTTAGCATAAAATGTTCGATTATTGTAACAATTACAAGAACAATAGAGAATGTTAAATCTATAGAGTCTCTTCAATAATAGTATGCTTATGAATCCATTGATTCAATAATAAGTCAATTAGGAAAGCAAAAAAATAAAGAAAGTCAATAAAACAATAAAAACTATACAATCAACAACAAGTCTTAAGGATTGTGCTTAACCAATCTAAGAAATCAAAGGAAATGTTAAAAATGCTTATATCAAAAAAATAACTTCACTACTTAGTGTTGAAGGAGATCAGTTGATAGATGAAGACTTATAAGAAGATTTAGAATTAGAGAGTTATTCTGAAATATAAGATAAAAGCAAATTGGCAGGTTTATTGGGATCAAATAATGATTTATTGAATAGTGAATCAAAAAATAAAAGATTAAGACAAAGTGCTAAGAATTCTAGACTTCGAAAAAAAGTTTATCTGAAATTACTTGAAAAAAAAGTAATATAATTTTATAATTATTTTTAGGTTTCTGAATTGGATTAGTAAATTTAAGAATACAAAAAAACAACCAGATAATCATTTGAGTATTTGACACAAATATTACAATCTCATCCTATTTTAAATAGTATGATTATTGGAAATTCATCAGCCATTGATTAAGTGTTAGAATGTTCATCATCTGATTAAGCTTAATTAGTATTGGATTCATATTTAGTAATGATATAATTCTTATTTTTATAGATGAGATATGGAACTTGTGGGATTAAAAGAAGAGATTATGTTAAATATGCTGTTAAAAATATATAAAAGAATTTTCTTAAAGGCAATTATGGATTATAACTTATGAGTTGGAATTAATAAATTTAAAATTGTAAAGAGTATTTTATTTATCAAATTAGATGACACTGAATTTAATTAATATGTAGAAATTGTTAAAGAAGAGGCTAAACTTGAAGATGATAATCTTGTTTATAGTGTTTTACCTACTATTGATAAAATGCTTAACCATCGTAAAATGTCTTAATAGTATTAATAATTCTAACTCTAGATTATTACTCAAATTTAATTAGGATATCAAAAATTTAAAATAGAATCAATAAGAAATTGAAGAAACAATAAATCAGTTTACATAATCATTAACTCCCATCTAACATTTAGAATTCATAAAATAAGTAGAGAAAATAGTGACTTTTAATCGTTTTAATAAATGATCAATAATATATTATGTCTTATTCCAAACTTTCAAGAAATATCAAAAATATAATGTAAATTATGATAACATTTTTTATTTTTTATATAAATATCTATATCATACTACTTAAATTAATAGTATAATTTATTATTATAAGCAACTACAACTACAATTGACAATTATATATTATATTTAATAATAATTATATTGTTAATAATATCATTATTGTAAAGAAATATAAAAGAAAATAATTTAAAAGATGCATTAAATTTTGTCAAATTATTCAAATAATTATAAAATTAATTAAAATGTCTGCAGTGGGAATTCGTGGTGAAAGAGATCAAGGTTAAGATGTACGTACAAGTAATGTAACTGCTGTCATGGCAATTGCAAATGTAGTCAAGACAAGTCTTGGACCACAAGGACTTGATAAAATGCTTGTTGATGAGATTGGAGATGTTGTAATAACAAATGATGGAGCAACAATTCTAAAATAATTAGAAGTTGAACATCCAGCTGCTAAAGTCATTGTAGAGTTGAGTTAATTATAAGATAAAGAAGTAGGAGATGGCACTACATCAGTTGTTGTTTTAGCAGCTGAATTACTTCGCCGCGCTAATGAATTAATTAAAATTAAAGTTCATCCTACAACAATTATATCTGGTTATAAATAAGCAGCAAGATAAGCAGTAAAATACATTCAATCACATTTGGTACATAAAATTACTGAAGATGACACTGAAATATTGATAAATGCTGCCAAAACATCTATGAATAGTAAATTAATTGGTCCAGAAAGTCACATCTTTGCTAAGTTAGCAGTAGATGCAGTTAGATTAATCAAAACCTAAGGTTTAGTATCTGGTAAAGCTAAGTATCCAATTTAATCAATTAATGTTGTAAAAAGTCATGGTTAATCATCCAATTAATCTGAATTAGTAAAGGGATATGTTATTTAATTATAAAGAGCATCATAATAAATGGTAACAAAAGTTAAGAATGCTAAAATTGCCTGTTTGGATATTAATTTGAATAAATTTAAGATGTAAATGGGAGTTTAAATATTGGTGGATGATCCAAATAATTTAGAGAAAATTAGAAAGAAGGAAATGGATGTATTGAAGGAAAGAATTCAATTATTATTATAAGCAGGAGCAAATGTTATTTTAACTTCAAAAGGAATGGATGATTTGGCTAATAAATATTTAGTAGAAGCAGGTGCAATTGGTTTAAGAAGAGTTCCTAAGGATCATTTAAGAAGAATTGCCAAAGCTTCTGGTGCTAAAGTAGTTACAACATTTGCTAATGAAGAAACTGGAGAGTCATTTGATTCAACTTGTTTAGGAGAAGCTGAAGTAATATAAAAAAATAATATTAATTTTAGGAAGTTTATGAAGAAGCTATAGGAGATAATGATTATATATTTTTTAAAGGAATGAAAAAAGAATAATCAGCAAGTATTATAGTAAGAGGTGCAAATGAAATGATGACTGATGAAATTGAAAGATCATTACATGACTCTTTATGTGTTGTAAAGAGAACTTTAGAATCAGGATCTGTTGTTGCTGGAGGTGGAGCAGTAGAAATGGCTTTAAGCATTTATTTGGATGATTATTCTAGAAAATTAGATTCAAATGAGTAGATTGCCATAGCTGAATTTTCAGAAGCCTTGACATAAATCCCAAAAATTTTAGCTACAAATGCAGCAAAGGATTCTATTGATTTAATCAGTAAATTAAGGGTTTTACACAGTAAGTCACAATAATTAGAAGTTGATGAAAAGGGATATAAATTTAGTGGTTTAGATTTGATTAAAGGTGAAGTTAGACATAATCTTAGACATGGTGTACTTGAACCAACAGTTAGTAAAATAAAAGCTCTTAAGTATTATTAATTTATTATAATTCTATAGATTTGCAACAGAAGCTGCTATTACGATTTTGAGGATTGATGATATGATTAAGTTGGAACCAAAGAAAGAATAAATGCCAGGAAGACATTGAGTTATGAAAATGAAATATAATAAACAATAAGAAATATAGATAAGATTTTATGAAATTCTTTATTTATAGTTTGATTCCGATTTTCATAAAATTTAACAAAATTAATATCCATGTCATCTGACTAATAAGGTGATTAGAAGCCTTTAATGTAACCATTTTCGGTCATGGAGCCTGAAGATAAGAAGGAATCAACCTATAGTAATTCTAAATTTGAAGGGTATTCATCATTTTATAAGATTTTTTTTAGTAAATGTGTCGATCCTAGGTTGATGACATTTTGCATCACTAATTTTGTAATCAATGTTGGTATTTCTTAAATTGCTCCTTTTTATCCTGGATTGGCTGCAGATAAGGCTGGTCTGTCATATTCTTAAATAGGATTGGTGTTTAGTATCAATCCTTTAGGCTCTATTCTTTTTAGTTTTGTTATAGGAAGTTTTATATAAGTTTGGGGTAATCGATTTAATTAATTTAGGCCGTAAAAAGTGTTTAATGATAGCTTTAGTAGTATAATCATCTGTTTAAATCCTTTTTGGATGCCTTAATTTTATGACAGACAATAAGGCTTTATTTTTTTCAATGTCTCTCATTTCCAGATTCTTTTAAGGTATGAGTAGATCTGTTTATTCAACTGTGACATTTGCTTATGTTCCAATATTTTGGCCAGGAGAATTTTAGAAAAAATTAGCAATTATGGAAACAATGACAGCGTAAATATAATTTATAAAATCTATATAGATTAGGATTATTGTTTGGTCCAATGATTGGTAGTGTTTTGAATTATGCATTTGGATATTCCATACCATTTTTCGTAATTGCCATATTTTTCCTTTGTGCTGAGATTCCTACTTATACATAGTTGCCCCCTGATAGTACTATGAAGAGTTTTGAAAAGAAAAAGAAACTACCTATTGGAAAAGCATTTACATCAATTAAGGTTATAGTAACTATAATGAATGTCATGTCTATCACTGCAGGTTATACTTACTTTAATCCATTCTTTGTTAATCATATGTAATCCTTTGGAATTTCTGAAAATATTGCTGCCTTCATTCTTACAATTCCTGCTATATTTTATATTGGTATGGTTAATATTATACCTAAAATTGGAAAATATGTTAAGAAAACTTTCATGATGTCTTTGGCTTTAATGATATGCTTTAGTGGTAATATGTTGGAAGCACCATTTTGGGGAGAAGGTAATACATTAGCAAGTGTTATTATTGGATTGATATTGGTTGGTGTTTCATAATCATTCTCAATGATTCCTAGTATTCCATAAATAAGTGAATTCTTAGCTCCTGTTGTGACAGATCCATAATTTAAGTATATTTTTGATATTAATAATTAGAAATAACTTAACTGATATGGCATCAGCCTTATTTATTATGTCAATGGGTTGTGGTTCATTAATTGGACCATTATTAGGAGGATCTATATATGATGGATTTGGTGGTAATGTAAATCTTGTTGAATCACCATCATAAGAATTAATAGATTAAGAAAGGGAAGCCTTTAGAGGAGCAATGATTTGTTTAGGGTTATGGTAATTAGTTGCAGCAACATTGTTTTTCTTCTTTGGAGATGGATACAAAGGTTGGAGTGATTGTTGTAGAACTTGTTAAACAGGATAAAATCCATCTAAAGATGAAGGACAACAATTGACAAAACCATTAAATGATGACACATCAGATGATGTAATGAGTGATAATGACACATTATCTTCAGAGGCATCTGTAGGAAATGATAATGATTTGTTATAGGGACCCCCAAAAAAAACAATAACAATAAGAAAAGAAGCTTTATGATTTGTACATTTAAAATTATTATATATATATATCAATTTTTAACTTCTTCTATTGGCACAACTGATCCAAATCTTGAAACTTATTCCTTACCATTTAAAAGGTTATTTAAGAATCTATCTACATTTGCAGAAGTTACAGAACCTCTCATTTTAGAAAATAATTATTTCTTTGGACTTAAAGCCAAAACTGAAGGATAACTATTAATTATAAATATTATTATATACCCAGCTCCTGACATTCCAAATTATTCTTCTAATTCATATTAATCTCCTGCTTATGACCAAAAATGAACCAATGGTTTAGATTTTAATGGTTTCACAGATTCCTTATAGGTATTCAAATATCCATCTCTACATTCTTAATCACAATCATAGATGTGTGGAACAAATAATAAAACACATATTCCAGTAGATTTCAAACAATTATCAGTGAATTATTATTAGTTAACCAATTATTCAAAGAAAAGAGGTTTTAATTTTCTATTAGTTTCTCGAGCATAATTAAGAAGAGTATTGTAATCTCTAGCTCCATCAAAACTTTCATAATCACCATCTACTTTTTCTCCTGCTCCAAAGAATCTAATGGTTGGGAATCCCTCAACCTTATACTTTGTTTTAGACTTTGATCCTTCTACACTTGCATCAATTTTAGCTACTTTTATTTCACCTTTAAGAGATGTTGCCAATTTAGCCCATTCTGGTGCTAATTTCTTACTAAAATAATTATATTTTGATTTAATACCAATGACCACACCAAGGAGCATAAAACTCAACAAACCAAGCATCTTTACTATTGAGAATAGTTTCATCAAGATTATCATCTGTCAAAACAATAACATCACTTTCATCTATTTATGGTTCAGGTGTTTTTTCTCCTTATTTCTTTGGTACTTTTCCTACTCTCTTGAAGGCAAACTAATATTAATTACAATTTAATCATACATCTCTGATTTAATCAAAAGCAAAATTGACAATTTCTTAGGCTTCCCATTCTCCTGGATATTCGATTGCTTATCCATTTGAATACACTCTTAAAGTTGTACTAGCACCATTTGAAAGAGCTCCAACATTAATCATTCCTTTGAGAGCTTCAGCAGCTGAAACAACTTAATCTCTTTATTCTGAACTTAATTGAGAATATTCCACTATGACCCAAAATGTTTTTTAATCTTAAACTTTTGCTTTGAAATCATCTTAAGTAAATTCATGAACATCTGTTCCTGAGAAGTTGGCTATAGACAAAGCGATTAGTAATGCAAAGAATATTGCTTTCATCAACGTATGATAAAATTATTATTCTAGAAAACTCTTTAAATTTTAAGAATATAAACTAAATGACGTGGTAGTTAAAATATCTTCTATTTTCATATTCTATAGATCAAATTATTGCTAATAATTAATATTCATTAAAAAATTCATCAATTTACATAGTCTAACATTATATCACAAATATACAAAATTATAAATGAATTTTTTCATAGAATATTTTGAATTTATAAAACCTAAAATTTAATATATTTCAATATTTAATGAATTCTTACAATATATTTACACTTAAAAGATCATTAATAAATAATATTTCATTATTATATCTAAAGAAAGGATACTCTCAATAATAAATTTAATTGCATATTCATTGAAATTATGAAGTTCTTGTTTTTCATATAAAAAAAGATAAAATAATTTATAAAGAAATTAATGAATAAGACAAAAATATTAGATAACTATTATGAATAGTTAGCAATTTAAATTATTCTAGGATTCTCTCTCTAAGCATATAAATTTAATATCATTTTTCCTTAAATATTTGAATCTCATGTAGATTTAAATCTTAAATTATTAAGAATGATAATATAATAAAATTCATTTATTTAATTATTTAGTTTTAATATTGAATTAAAGAATGAAGTCTTTATTAAAAAGAAGAAATAGTTATTTGTTATCATAATAAAATTAATAATTATTATAATGAATTATAGAATTGAAAAGGCTGACTTATATATTAGATAACATAGAATAATTGAATTATTTGAAGATTTGACTACAGCCATCTCATATGAATAACCAGCAGACATAAAAAAGTTTTTGATTGAATAATTGCAGTTAAAATAGAAATTCGGTTTCAAAACAGGTTTATTCAAACCAGAAGAAATTGATAACATTTTCACAGTAAATTGATTTAAGCATTATTATTATTAGTTATTTGATTTAAAATAAGATGGATGGATTTCGAAAAAGTAAGCAATTGATGCATTTAAAGTTATGGCAGCTTCCCAATATCAACTTAAAGATGAATCTATTTTTCCAGAAAAAGTAACAAAAAAGTAATTTGCAGAAATTATAGGAGAACATCTAGGTATAAAATGATCTATATAAAATAAATATATATATTAAAATCATCTATTAATTAATTATTTCAACAAAGTTAAATAGAAATGAAACATAAAAATAATCTAAGGCCAGTATAGGAATAAAATATTTATTTAATAAAGTCAATATAAGATCAAAAATTAATAGGTTTCTCTAGAAATTACTATAGATTGGAATTTAATAAAATAGATCTTAATTGTGAGAAATAATTTAATTGGATTATATAAAGTGATGATTAAAATGAATAACATTATGAATTTAGATTTGGTGAATATGTCTTAATTTAAAATCTAGAAAGGAATATACCTATTAATTAAGATAAAGTACCTTTATTATTGTAATTTTTCAATGAGACTATTGACTCTTAAGTATTCAACAAATGTTCAAATAATTTAATAGGGAATCAACCATGTATATTAAAAAATAGTTATAACAATCTTTATTTAAACATTATCAATAGTGAATTAATATATAAAGAATAACCATTTTATTTTTAAATAATACCTAAATAGAATTAAAGAAATTTGGCTATCTAAAGACCTCTTTGCAATTAAATATGTGATTATTAAATTAGAAATTACTTTACAGGATATTAATTATCTTATTCTAGTCAATTTTAGAATGATAAATATTTAACTATTAAAAACTAACCAGCCATACATTTAGAGAAATGGAGGATTTTCTAATTGGAATCTAATATTTATCATTTGTATAATTAAGCATAAAAATCATATGTTTAGAATTTATCTATGGATAAATAATAAGAAGCCAATTATATATTTTTAAGTCATGATTAGCCAAAACATAATTGGAGAATTATATGTAAAATACATAGTTTATGAAATTTTAGGTCCATATAAGCAATAGCTATAATTTGGAACCCCATTTTTGATTTAAGACACTTCTAATGGATATTATATGAATATAGATATGTTTAATCCAAAAAACAATGAGAGCAACGAGTTTGTAGTTGTATTAAAAAAGAATATTGAAACTACATCTTTATGGGTAGTGTATTATATGAAATGATTGATATAAAGTAATTTCTTTACTTCTATAATAAAATTATTAATAATGAATCTCATTGATATAGCTCTTTTCGTTATGATTGTGTGTGGCTTAATTGGAACTTTGTTTTTCTTAAAAGATCATGCTCCTGGAAAATAACAATCAAAAATTGGATTAGGTTGCTCTAGCTTATTTATATTATATATCCTCACCAAAGAAATAAGTTAGTCAAATTGTATTTAGTATCTTATTCTATGTAGTCGTAATCATAGGATTAACTATATTAATGCTTGGGAAGTTTTATTACACTGCTAAAAATTCCCTCTAATTGTATTTCAATAACCAAAGACTCAATTCAGAAGTATCAGAGCATGGAATCAAAGTAAATGAACCAGATCATGAATTACCAGGTTATTTGCCACCAATTATGTCTGAGAATGAATCTAGATGCTCTAGTTAATAGAGTTAGCAAGAGTATAACAAACCTATTAGAATCAAATAAGGATAATAGTCTTTATAATTTGGAAGATAATAACAATAGAAAGATATTCAGAAAATTGGTTTATAGTTGAGTTTTTTAGGAGACTTTAAACAATCTAATTTTTAGAAAAGTTAACTTGGATTAAATTCAATTAAACAAAGTTATATGCAAGTTCATCCTATTAATTGTAGTGTTTATTTCTAGTATATTAGAAACTGTAAATTTGGTGAAGTATTCAGAAGATGGTGAAATCAAAATAGGAATTCTAAAAACAATCAAATCCATAACATATGATTTGGCTGAAAAAGAATTAGAGTAGTTACAAAAAGAACCTGTAATTTCGAAAGCAGATTATCCAAAAATTTAGATTTTATATGAGAGTAGTTAACCAGAAATTTAAAGTTAAAACAATGAATTATAGAGTAGACAAAGTAAATAAAGCAATAATAATATGCTTTAACAATAAGCCCCATTTAAAGAAGTTAAAACAGAATAATCAATAATGCCATAATAATAAAAACCTACATTCCCTAAGAAAATTAGTTGGATCAAAATATTAAAACAGATAATTATTTTGATGGTTTTTTCTCTTAGTGTTGCTTAATTTCTTTAATAAGATCCTAAATCTCATATTTTAATGATTATCTATATAATTGGATATACTTCTTATTAGATATCACTTTTTTCATTATTTGTTGCATAAGGATTAGAAATTACTATCCAATTAAGGGAGATTATAGCATGGTCATTATTAATTGTATTGCCTACCTTATTATCAATATTAATTATACAATTTAAAATAGATTGTTTTCAATTTATGGCTTGGTTATCTATCTTAATTGCAAGCTAAAAAATAAAATATGCATCAAGGTAATTAAAATTAATTATATTATTATAGAAATCCTGCTCTCTTCAATCCATTTATAATTATATTATGTTTAAGTGCATTATTTTGCTGATAAATATGAAAACTATAATTATTCATTAATCACGAATTTTTAATTCCAATCTCGTTAATCTCTAATCAAAATTTGTTAAAGCTATATTTACTGTTGTCTATAATTCTGAAAATTTTTGCATAATTGATTTGATGTTATCATTACTAAGCATAATTACCTACATTAATTTTTATAGATCTTAATGAGTAACACCATTTGATTATTGAACTTAATTAATTGGTTAAGTTTGATAATTTTATTAAACTTAATTTATTTTTTATTTGAATGTTTATTAAGCTTAAATTTCATTTTAAGAATCATTCTTTTCATCAGATTAAGGTGGAGATGGTTATTATTAATATTATTATGTATAATTGCATTATTCTAACTATTAATATTATTCTTAATTGCAAGAAACTGTTCTTGGGACTAATTCATTTTATTAAGTTATTTTATAAGGTTCTGGTCTTTTTGGTTGTTCTATATCTTCTTCATCATCTTCACTCTAAAAATTCTCTCTTTATACAAACACTTAAGCCTTTTATTTATTATTTGATTCTTGTTATTTTTAAGTATTTTATAACTATGAACTGTTTTCTTAACCCTTAAAAATATTCACTTTCTTTTCTTTTTTTGTTCTCTATAATACTTCATTAAAGATATCATTTATTAAGATTAATTTATGTTCTAAATATTGTTCTGATAGAAATTAAGCTATATTTATTGATGATTTATAGTTGAATTCTAATTGAAGCATTTTGAACACTTATTCTGTGAATCTCAAATCATTTTTGGAATATAACTCATATCCTTTATCAACTAAGGCTAACAAACAATCTTAAGCAATAGGTACATTTATAAAAGCTTGAATTGTATTCAATTAAAATGTAGTGGAGTATTCTCAAAAAAAATGTTGGATTGTTATCCTTAACATATTCAAAAGCGAATTATTCTTTGTATTCAGCTTTCTTCATTGTTTTCTTAAAATTTTCATATTAATTTTATAGATCAGAGCTCATTTCAAAATTCAAATTAAATATATATTAACAAATTTTTATCAATAATTTTATGATATTTTATTCAATAAATATAATTATTTTATTCTTTTAAAAATAATTGTATTTTTATCTATTCAAAACAGAATCTATTGTAAAAATCATTAAAAAATTATCATAATATAATACTAATAAATAATTAATATCTTTTTATAGNTAATTAAAATTAATTATATTATTATAGAAATCCTGCTCTCTTCAATCCATTTATAATTATATTATGTTTAAGTGCATTATTTTGCTGATAAATATGAAAACTATAATTATTCATTAATCACGAATTTTTAATTCCAATCTCGTTAATCTCTAATCAAAATTTGTTAAAGCTATATTTACTGTTGTCTATAATTCTGAAAATTTTTGCATAATTGATTTGATGTTATCATTACTAAGCATAATTACCTACATTAATTTTTATAGATCTTAATGAGTAACACCATTTGATTATTGAACTTAATTAATTGGTTAAGTTTGATAATTTTATTAAACTTAATTTATTTTTTATTTGAATGTTTATTAAGCTTAAATTTCATTTTAAGAATCATTCTTTTCATCAGATTAAGGTGGAGATGGTTATTATTAATATTATTATGTATAATTGCATTATTCTAACTATTAATATTATTCTTAATTGCAAGAAACTGTTCTTGGGACTAATTCATTTTATTAAGTTATTTTATAAGGTTCTGGTCTTTTTGGTTGTTCTATATCTTCTTCATCATCTTCACTCTAAAAATTCTCTCTTTATACAAACACTTAAGCCTTTTATTTATTATTTGATTCTTGTTATTTTTAAGTATTTTATAACTATGAACTGTTTTCTTAACCCTTAAAAATATTCACTTTCTTTTCTTTTTTTGTTCTCTATAATACTTCATTAAAGATATCATTTATTAAGATTAATTTATGTTCTAAATATTGTTCTGATAGAAATTAAGCTATATTTATTGATGATTTATAGTTGAATTCTAATTGAAGCATTTTGAACACTTATTCTGTGAATCTCAAATCATTTTTGGAATATAACTCATATCCTTTATCAACTAAGGCTAACAAACAATCTTAAGCAATAGGTACATTTATAAAAGCTTGAATTGTATTCAATTAAAATGTAGTGGAGTATTCTCAAAAAAAATGTTGGATTGTTATCCTTAACATATTCAAAAGCGAATTATTCTTTGTATTCAGCTTTCTTCATTGTTTTCTTAAAATTTTCATATTAATTTTATAGATCAGAGCTCATTTCAAAATTCAAATTAAATATATATTAACAAATTTTTATCAATAATTTTATGATATTTTATTCAATAAATATAATTATTTTATTCTTTTAAAAATAATTGTATTTTTATCTATTCAAAACAGAATCTATTGTAAAAATCATTAAAAAATTATCATAATATAATACTAATAAATAATTAATATCTTTTTATAGTATTATAATTCTAATTAAATTTAAATATCCTCCAACTAATTAATTTTAAGTTATCAATATACAAATATTGTTTTCTATGTAAGATTACAATATTTTTAAATCTTCTAATAATTTATCCTTATGTATCAATAATATCTAAGTAATTTGTTTCCATCCTAGAATTAATTATAAAATATATGATTTTAATGATCTACAATTTTTTAATAGGGAATTATAAAACATTGATGTTAATTTATAAAAAATATATAGCATTTTAAATTACTAAAATTAAAATTTCTAAAAAATACAAATGTTTAAAATAATGTTAATTAATAACCATTGGTTTTTTTAGTCTATTAAAAGTAAAAAAATGTAGTATAGAATAAATTTTGATATCAACCTAAGTTTTTTTGTATTATTTTAATACTTATTATCGACTTTTATTAAAGGATGACTTATGACTTTTATTTATAATGATAAAATACTAAATAAATGGAAAAGAATGAAGGTTTGAAGGAAGAAGAAATAAAAATTGAGAAAGTGATTCGTTTAGATAAAACAGGTTGTCCTATTGTTAAGGGATAGAAAGGACACAAGATTACATTTTGTGATGAAGTGATAGTTGGGAAACCTATTCATAATATAATTTTTGTCGAATGTTATAAACAATTCAATTTGCCTCCAAGCGATATGGAAGTTGCTGATGAATGCTGCTTATTAATATGAAGAACTTTGATTTATTTTATGGGTTTGTTTTCTTTGAATTCAATTTTAACATTCATTTTAAAGAGTCTTTAATGCACATGAGTGCTGAACATTTCTTAATTGTAAGTGAATTACTCAAAGTATCAATGACTTCTTTTCGATGATTAAAAAGGGTAAATTTATATCCTTGTGAAAAATTATTAACAATTATGGAAAAAGTTTAAAGCCAAACTTAATTAACATCACACACTATGCTAAGTCCAATTATTAAAAAACTTAATTTCAGAACTGACAAAAGAGGGTTTCCAATTCTGAAAGGATCTAGGTGTCATGGGATAAGTTTTAAGGATTAGATTAAACAGGGGGAACTACAAACTGTAATATTAGTAGAGAGTTGGAAACAACTAAATTATGATAATAAATAAAAT